AAAAAAAATTAATTAAAATTAAAAAAAGATTGTGAAAAATATTTGTATTTGAATTGTAATTGAAAGAAGAAAATTAAATACGTAATAAAAAAATAAAATCTTGAACTCAAGGTTTTACTTTAACATAAAAAGTTTTAAAAATTAGCAAATCAATTTTAAAAAAATTAACAAACTTTATTTGATCTATAGAGAAAATATAAATTTATTTTTAATGTAGTTACTTTATATGAATTACTTTCATATGACTACATAGTAAAATTTTATAAATTTAAATACTCTGGTTATTATTAGTTCTCTAAATAATCAAATCAAAATAATAAACAATTCAAGATATAATTAGAAAAAGTGCATGTTAAATAAAATGATAAAACTATTTTGAAAATAAATAAAGTCGTTTTAGAGTTAAAAAAAATATTTTTTAAGTTTATCTTAGAAAGAGAAAAAGCATAATATAAGATGAAGAGTGAGTTTCTTCTGATATCTTTTGAAAGCTAGTTGACCCCCGCAGGTTGCAATTCCCCTTCTGTGACAGTGATTAGTTTCGGGTTACTTAACACACGCACCCCCACAAAAAATGTAGGGGAGACAGTGAAACGGGTTTTGGAGGTGCAATATATTTCGTCCCTTTTCGAACCTATCCTTACTGAAGGTTGGAATTGAAATGAAAAGGCCTCCTTAGGTATTCTTTGGCCAAGAGCATGGCAAAAGGAGATAATTCGCAAATGGTGCTTACTGCATCTGTTTTACTGTACACCATCTGTTCCCAATCTTTGGTTCAGCCCACTTCAAGGCAGCGTGATACTAGGCCATGGACACTAGTCAAGAATCTAAGCCAAGATAAATCTTGGAATTTAATACCATTTTTTTTTGGATCACATTTATTGAAAGAATGTAAACAGAGACTCAAACAAAACCATCGGACAAATAACATCAGTAGATCTACACCTTTAAGTTTGTCAATTGAAAGAATGAAATAGTTTCAGAAAAAATAAAAAAATTTCTTGTATAACTTTTTTTTTATTGTTTATTATTGCTTAATTAACTAAAATGTGTTTTAATTTAAACTCGGCATAATATTTATTTTGTATTATTTCAGATGTTGAATCTTCTGTAGAATCAGAAAGCAGTTCATCAGATTCCGATGAAACATCATCTTCAGAGGTATCATTACATGGAAAATTTTTTTAAAATAGTTATTCAAGTTGAGTTGCTTTTGGGTTACATCCCAATTATAGTTATTTATATGTAACAGTTACGTGCTTAGTTGTCCTCAATATGCATATTATTTTAACCATCCAAACTAAATTCGGTATAAATGAACAAAAAAAATTATTTTAAAGGTATGTCTCAAAAAGATATCTTTGTGCGTTTGCCCGGTTCAATTTTTATTTGAGAAACTAACTAGAATATCCTTAATAATTTCTTATTTTATTTATATATAGTTTGTATACAAACATTTTAAGTACATTTTAATTACTTTTTGACTATATTTTTAAATGCTGTTTATTAATTCTTTTAGTTCTGCATTAAATATGATTCCTATTTCAAATAATCCAAATTGTTTTAAATTATTCTAATCGCCTCAACCTCCTCAAAAATAAGCAATTTTTTTTTTACAAAATTATTCCAATGTACCTTGATTTTGTTATAGCATAAATCTTTCTCAGAAATTGTTTCAAAGGTAGTATTTATCACAAAATTTCTATAGCCTTGCTCCGAAAAAATGAGATAAATAAATGTATATAACTTTTCTTTTTTTTCGAGAAAAGAAATTTATTTTAATTACATCAGCACTGTTGTTAAATTATCTGTATCACATTTTTGAAAAAAATCCTTAATTTACCTATTAAAAAATCGATATTTTTCTAATTTTAACTCCAAGCATGATAAAATTATTTTTAAAAAAACAACAAGGTAAAAATATGCATTAAAATGTTTTAAAGATTTTTTTTAAAAATTTCTGTTAAGTTCATTTATTTTTGGTCTATATAGTGTTTATATCACTGTGCCTCTCTTATCCACATAAGTTTCCTCTTTTTATAGGATGAATTACCATTAGATGATGGCAAATTCTCTGGAATTCCAACACCCAGGAAAGAAGCTGAAAGTATAAGCGATCGCTATTCATCTAGTGAAGAATCTGAACTTTTTGGAGTAGAGAAAGAATCAAACGGCTTTATTTCGGATTCTTCAATAGATGTTAAACCTAGAGAAGTGCAAAAACCTGCTGAGGAACCTAAGACAGCTGTCAGGGACTCGAGGCAGAGCTCTGTGTCTTCCTTGCAATCCAAACTCAATCTTCCTCAAGTGCTGCCAACACCCAAACATGCTCAAAAGAAAAAAGGTTTGTAAAAATGAAAAAACAGAAGAATAGTTCTCAGATTTAAGAGAATCAGATTTTTTAATTTTTAATTTAATTTTCAAAATATAATACTATACATACATTGAAATATGTACAAACAATAATAGTGGATGAAATTATCATTATAATGAGCTTGTTATCATAAGCATACATGCGTATATGAAGTTAAAATAAGAATAAAAAAGACTAAAAATGAAAACAACATATTTACCTCTTTTTCTTTTACTTTGAACAGCATTTTATCTGTTCAAATAAAAGAAAATAGGAAATAATTCACAAATTTGTCAAATTGTGCATATTTTTTTCATAATAGTAGAAAACTTTGTAAAAAATTTATTATGTACTCATATAACTTTATTTTTAGGTGTATCATTTTCTATAATTAAACATTAATTAATAAAATTTAAATTGAACAAAAAGTGGAAGCAGCAAAAAACTTGTTTCCACAAAACTGGGTTAAGAACCAATTTAGAACAAAACTATGTATTCAAATTTATTTATTCTTTTCAAGGGTCAAATTAGTGCATCCTTCGTTCACTTCGAAAATGCACGCATCAGATTGTCATCCATACAAATACAATTGAACCCATGTATATGATTTAAAAATAAATTCATTTTTGAATTTTATTAATTATTTTCATTTTAAATATAGTTCTAAACTAAGACTGAATTATGTAGCTTTGTACTTAATGATAAGTGGAAATGTGTTCAACAGGTTTGTTTAAACATTAAGTTTCAAAATTGAATTAAGTTTTGTTCAAAAAAGAGGAGAAAAAAAAAGGAAGTTCGATTTACTTTTTTTAACACAAATTTTTTTCCTTTCTTCTGAAATTATGGAAATTCCGCAATAGTTAGAGGGTATTTAATGGGTATCAACTTGTTTAGAAAGTAAAAATTGCCAATGGGCAATGCTGTTCACCTTGCTGCCATCATAGCTGTTCTCAAAATATTAGTACTTTGACTTCATCAACAGATAGTCATAATTTAATTTTTTTACTTAAAATATCACAGTTGCTGAAATTTGCACTTTTCGAGGAACCTTTTTAAATCAAAATAACTTTGATAACTTGTGGAATTTTCTTTTAAAATTTCGCACCACTCAAACGTATCTAATAATTGTAAGAAATTTTATACGCAAGCCTAAATTTATTATCTGTAATGGTGGTCAATCTTATTTGAAATCAATTGTGTTAAATCAAGAAAAAATAAAAATTTTGATATCTTTTTGAATGTAATTTTTTTTTATTGATAAAATTGATTACTATACAATTTATATAAACTCCATATTTTTTTTTCTTAATTTATTACATAACATTATATACATTTTTATATTAAGCTTACTCCTTATTTTTAACTTTGATGCTACTGTAAATCACGGAATTTGACTTTTCAAGATTGAAAGTTTCTTTTCTTTGAGTAACAAAAATGCTTTGCTTTTTTATATAATTGTTTTGTTATTTGTAATGTTTAAAGAAATATTGATTATGATTCTGTATAATACTCAAATATGTTTACAATGATTTTTTTCTATCTTTATTCCTATTAATTTAGAAAGCGAAGGTTTGTTTACAAATGATGATGAATTTTCTGATGAAGATTCACCTTTTCGAAGGAAGACTGGATTGTTTGCATCAGAACCTCGATTTGATGATGATAAGGTATTTTTTTGTTCGTAATAATTTGTAGTTGCTAATGTAAAATGTATTTTTGCTGCTTAGGCAAAAGCGTATTTTTGCCTGGTGGAAAAAAAACATTTTTTCAATGGTCTTTTCCACTCGTGGCAAAAACTTGCTAACCCTGGTGGGAAGTACATTTCCCATGGCCTTATAAAGATTTAAAATTTCTTGTTGACATAGGACTCATCAGATCTCTTCAATGTCTTTGTCTCGAATCCGTAGACCAAAATAGGCTTAATGAAAGATTTATGTAAAAAGAATTTAATTCTTGTTTGTTTTTGGAAATTGAAATTAAAACTAAAAAAGATTTTTTTAATACTGTAAAATGTTTTATTGGCCTACAAGCTTCCAAATTACAGGTTCAGATCACTAATAATTTTTGGTAACAACAACAAAAGCTATCAGTTTTTTTTAAAAAATGTGAAAAAATATTTTAAAAAATGCCAGTATTGTTAGGAATTTCATAGAAAATAAGTAAAGAATATCTGAATATAATTTGCTTAAAAATATAATAATAAGAGTATGAATAAAATTTTCTGAATCTAGTTTTATCAATATAAATATTGATTAAGATTCTTTCTAAAATCTTTGTTTTTAACTGTGCAATGAAATGAAATTTAAGTTGTAATTGTAACAATTATACTGATCTGCAATTGAAAAAACATACTTAAGTGCTCCATTATAAATTGTAAAAAAATTAGCATGATAACTATTGTCTTTCCCTTGCTAACATTGTGAATGCTAAAATAAAATTTCAGAAAATTATTAGAATTTCTTTTTTTGAATGAAAAAATAGTTTCTTCAATGTTTAGTTATGATACAAAAATGCACAGTAAAAAATCCAAATTTAGAATTGCTTGCTTTGACTTTCCTATTGCATGGCAGTATAGTGCTTATGGTATTGAGTGTAAAATAAAATTTATTTTAAACTATTTCTATTAACTAACTCTTTTTTTAAAAATAAAACTGTAGGATATGTTTGCTAATGACTTATTTGGAACCAAAACTAAAGAAGATACGAAGTCAGTGGAAAATCCTAAAGCTACCCCTTCTCAAAAGCTACCATGTAAGATTATGTTTCAGTTTTATATATTATCAGTTTTTAGTTTTATTTTATCAGTAGAAATATTACCGAAAAGTTGAGTTAAATGAGAAACTGTAAACTAGTCTAGGTTTAGCATAATTATATTTGTATTGTATATTTGGTGATAGTGCTTGCTTTGAAATTTAAATATTCTATAAAAATGATCATTGAGCTAATTTTAATAAACATTTATTAATTTGAAGTTCAAATAATTTATGTTTACACGAACCACCAAAGATGATTCCAGAGATTCTGTTCAGAAATTTTTAGAAATAAAAATGTGTTGGAAGAAAATGAAAATTAATAACAATTTCTCCTATAGTAGTTAAACTAAAATATAATTTTAGTTTTAATAATCTCATAAAGCAGTTACTGACCCTACATCGCACAAATACTTCTATTACTAGTCATTTGAGATCTGTTACTTTATATTATATTATAATTATACTATATTATACTATATTATACAATATTATATAATAATTTTGTGGAAATACTTCTATTACTAGTCATTTCAGATCTGTTACTAAACATTTGAATTACTTTCTCAAAATATCTTTTGTGGAAAAGTGTATTATCTAATATAAAACATATTCTATGTCAAATGCTTTCAAATACTACTAATACATATTATAATTGCCTACATGTTGTTGTGTCACAACAACCAGAAATAAGACGTGAGTTGTACCAAACAATTTATTTAAACATTCACACGAAAAATCAATAAATATTACCCCAAAAAATATCTCTTCTCAGAAAACACTCTCTTTCTCAACTACACAAAAAGAACATCACTTCTCGTGTGTGTTTCTCAAGCAACATCATTTTAGCATAACCTCTCGAGGAATTGATGCTTTTAGCTCAGTTGTCACACACTGTTACGTTACAATGTATTTCTAATAGTTGCTAATACGCATTTTATTGCTTACATATATGTTTAATAATTGCTAATATATTGATTATCTACATATATGTCTAATATTGCTAATATTTTAATTGCCTAATATTTTGTTATATTAATCCAGAGTTTCTGCAATTAGTTTTTTTAAAGGGTATGAATTTATTTTCATCCCATTATTATTCTAAAGTTAGATGCAGTATTTACAAAATATTTCCCTTTTCTTGCAGACAATTCTAGCCTTTGCAAATATTTGGAATGCCCAGTGTTTAGCATAGCATTGTGATTTATAGATCAATATATGATGGGGCATTTTTTAAATCATATTGAAAGCTCTCTACAATGCGGAAAATTTTTCAATGAATGTTATAATGTCTATAATTGCCTATAGATATGTCTCCAATAATCTATGAAGTTTGAGGTTCCTATCTATAAGCTCCAATAGTTTTAATCTATAAGTTTGATTCCAAAACTTTCCAAAAACTATTTTTCTGTTTTTTTTACAGCATTATCTTTTTTGAATAAAATAATTCATGTCACTCTTTTGGGTTAAAAATTATTTTACAGCAAATACTTTTATTTATAATAAATCTGAATGTCAATTTGAGCATATTACACACAAAAATTGATAGTTTAAATTCTTTAGCTGTATAACTCAACAGCAAACAATACATAATTAGCAAAGTTTTTAAAATTTTATTTGCAAGTTTTATGGGTATATTAATTTTGTTAAAAAATTTTTTATTTTCAAATACCCAGTAGTTTTTATCCTGGTAGTCATGGAGAAAAATATGGTAAATCGCAAAATTAAAGGTAATACAACCTGTTCTCCTAGACTCAAACGGAAAATATTTTAAAATTATTACTCTGCCAGTTATTTTTGTGCTATTGATTCCACTTTGCCTTGTTATCCGTGTAACTAAAAGAATGGTTGAGTTTGTTTTTCTTTAAAAGTTTTTTCATATGTGACTCAACATTGAAACAGATAAAAGCAGATATTTTTCTACTGATAACAGAGAATTCTCAATTTTTATTTTTAAAGCTAAAAGAGATGAAAAATCTTTTTCATAAAGGTGTTGTTGGAACTTATCTCCATGGTTTAGATTATCTCTAAACCAGATCTGTGAAACTGTTCCATTAACTTTTAGTATTGCACAATTTCACGTAAATCAGTAGAAAGCACCTGCCGAAGATCAAAGATGGCAAGAGTCAGACCGTTAGTTCAAAAGCTGCTGTCACCCTAACTTAGCTCAGAGGAATGATAAAGGTAAGATGCCATTAAAGGAAACAAATTAACATTTTTAAGACTTTCATGACCAAACCTATGTATTCACTTCAGCAGACAAGTCAAAGCACGATATACAAATTTATAACAAATGCCCTTACTTTCTTTTCAAAAAATGTGCTCTCTATTTTTTTCTTAAATAGTTTTGGCAAGGATTCACAAAATTTTCGTTTCTCTTTTTTATTTTTATTTAAGGAGGTCCGCGGGTCAGAGAGGTTGAAAACGCTAGTTAAGTCATTATTCTTATTAAACTGAACTAAAACAGAACTAAAGTTGTATGAACACTGTGTGTTGTTATTTTGTATTCGCCTGATCTATGTGTCTTTTCTCCACTTTTCCTATTTTGATGGAATTGTATTTTTAAATTTTTCTCAGGTAAATGCTTAGTGTTAAATCAATATTGAATTGATCTAGGAGAAAAATGCAATTTCATTTAATTCTTTAGCTGCTGTGCCTAAAAGCAAAGAACCTGACTTATTTGGAGACGATGAAGATAGTGACGATGATATTTTCAATAAATTAACTCGAGCAAAGAAACCAACTCTTCCCAAAGAGAGCTTTGTAAGTTATGGTTACTTTATATTTATAAGTTATTATGTCTTTTATTATGTTATTCATATGTTATATGTCATTTTATCTTCGTATATTTAGAAGCTATTATGTCAGGTTTGCAAGTCTGTTGCTTCACAAATTTCTGTGAAAATTCTGAAAGTTAATTTATGCTTCTTTTAAAATATGTAAGCTTTACAAAATGCTACAATTTATGCAAAAATTGATTCAAATGTGGGATTATTTTGGTTTGCTTTATTTTCTTTCAATTTAACAACAATCAGTAGTTTTCTGCAGTTGCAAATCTGATAATCTGTTACTGAAAAACTCATATAGTGGAATAGGTCAGAAGTGTCTTGGCAAGAAAATAGTTCAAAATAAGTGTAAATTATGTCAAGTTCTCAATTCTTTCTATCCCTTAGATGATAAATTTATAATCATACATATCTTCAATAAAAAATGCTTTAAAGAAGTAAAAATAAAATTAAAAAATTTTCAACTCTTTTACATGGTGCGTAGCATTTTTAAAAAGTGCTTAAATGTGCTTATTTTCGATTTTCGTTTTTTGAAAGCCCTTAAAGATGCTTTTTTTAGTGCAGCGTTTTTAAAAAATGCTAAATTTTTCCCTTTTCGAAAAGGGAATGTCGATTTTCTATGTATATTATGTAAAAGCGTGCTCTTCCCATTGTTCTATTCGATATTTTCACAATTCATTCCACCACAATCTATTTCGGTGTACCGTTGTTCGTTAGCGTATGAAAGCACCAAACATTTTACGTGTTTAATGAAATACTCACGTGTCCGCTTGCGCGTCTATTGAACTGGGTTCGGTGAGATTATAGCCCTCTCATGTGCAAGGCTACTGCATTTAGCAAGATATTCTCCATTTCAGGCTTCATTTTCCACCCCCTGAAATCGAACCAAAAATATATGATCGATCTTTTTATGGTGACTAATATAATTAAGAAAAATGTTTGTTAGAAACTAGTTATTTTATCATGATCATGTAAAGTCTTTGAAAATTATTTTATATTTTGTTAGTGTATATAGTACTTAAAAATATTTTTGAGTGCTTAAAAAGTACTTAAAAGGTGCTTATTTTTTGTTGAAAGATTTGGCTACTCACTCTGTTTTATAATTTGTTTTATTATTTATATATGCCTATGTTTTCCTATGTCTATGTCTTTCAGTATCTATATTGCACATACATATTATTTCTTTTCTTTTTGTATTTGTGTTCCCACAAAATTTTCAAAATTTCTTGCAAATCTTCCACAAGGTTTCATCTTTTTTTTTTTCCAGTAGCAAATTTGTATAAAATTTAATTATAACTAGTTTTTATTGTCTGTACACCATTTACATCTTTAATTTTTAAATGTATTCTTATGCTACGTATGATTTGAATGTGCCTCAGCTAAAAGAATTTTCTTTGAAAAAAAGCTAAATTTGTAAATACAGTCGGACCTCTATTTAACGAAGTCTCTAAATCCCGATAATAAGTTTGTTATATGGAAAGTTCATTAAATAGAAAATCATCTTTTGAAATACTTAAACGACACAAAACGGGTTTCAAATTCATAAACACTAGACATAATTAAAATAGCTATGGATACACCTTCATCTTGTAAAGTAGTATCTACTATTTATTTTATAAATCTTAATCATTAAAGAAATCTGCATGGAAAGCAAGAACATTATCCAGTGTTACACAATCATACTATACAGTGGGTGATCGGTTAACGAACAGATCGGTTAACGAACAAATCGGTTAACGAACACTTTCACGAAAGATTTTTGTGTTCGGTTAACGAACACATATTCGGATAACGAACACTTTCAAGAAAGGTTTTTTGTGTTCTGACAACGAACACATATTCGGATAATGAACAAAACGAATTCTAACGAACACTTCTCGACCTGAAAAAAAATACTATTAAACGTTTGTTATCATTTTGCATACAAAATAAGATCACTGAAAGGAGAAATATTTAAAGCATGCTTAGTATTGATAATTACTAAATGAAACTTGAATNGCTGCATTTATTATAAAAGTAATTTTAAACATACATTACCACATGCGTTCTAAAGTTTAATTGCTACTGANACATACATTATCTCATGTGTTCTTAATTTTAATTGCTACTGATAAAATCCGTTAATTTTAGACTGCTATTGATAAAATCCGTTAAATTTTTATGTTAGAGTTTTTCGTTAGAAATGCGAACAAAAATAGAAAGTGATTTTCCTGCTTTCTCTAAAGGTTAAGTGACTTCGAAATTCCATTCAAGGTTATTTTCCCCATAAAATGCGTTAAAAAATTTAAAATGTTCTGAAATATTTTGGGAAATAGGGAAAGTGGATCTCAATGAAAAGTTCGTTATATAGAAAATTCACTTCGCTATTTGGAAGTTATTTTACGACGAAATTTCCAAAATGTTCTTGGTTCCTTGAAAAATTCGCAAAGTAGAGAAATTCGAAAAATGGAAGTTCCTTATAAAAATTTGACTGTATTTTCACATTCATATTTTCTCATCATATTTGAGTTTGAATACTATGATTTCCATTCCTATTTTTTAGAAAATCTTTAAACTAGTTTGAAAAACAATTATAACTTTTTTTATGTAAGTTTTATAGTTTTCTCATACTATTTTGGCTGGAATTTGGGAGCTGCAAATCAACCATTGCTGCAGACTGTGAATCTCTATTTGTGTTGAGTTCAAGTTATTTTCTTTTCGCAAGCCTGAGGCCAAAAATTTTAAATCTGAGCTTGCTCACGGAACCCGAGATTTAAGGCATCAAATAGAAGTTATTATTATAAAAGATATAAAACCAAAATTTCTTAAGAGAAAACCCAAATAAAATATGCTATTGAGATTAAATGCTTCTAAACTTTTTGCATTTAAAACTTTTTACATTTCTTTTTACATTTTCAATCAAACCAAACATATTTATATATATGTATGTATATATATGTATGTATATATATTAGTTTGATAGTTGGAAGAAATTATCTAAAATTCTTTCTGACTTTTAATCAAGTTTTTTCTCACATCGAGGGTAAATAATGATTTTATATAATTATTTCTTTTGGTAGATATCAACATTAGAGTCACCTGACAAGGCAGATAGTTCCTCAACTCCATCATCAGCACCATCCGTTAAACCATCGGGTAATGCCTTTGATTTTGGAACTGGATCTGGAAATGCTGATGCTCTTTTTGGTGATGATTCTGATGGAGATGATTTGTTTTCTTCTAAAAAGACTATTACTACGTAATAATTATTTACTTGTTAAAAACCATTATTTCTTTGATGCAAAATTAAGTCATACATCTAGTGAAATAATTTTAAACTCTATTTCTCTATGTTGCTGGGTTGAGTTATCTGAAATGAGTTTCTAAGGGTTCACTTAAATGAACTTAAAAGTTTGAATTTTATTTTTCAGTATTAAAACTTTTAACCAACAGTCCCTTGCCAGACTGTGCCTATATGAAGAGTATTAAATGGTGATAGTCTTTCAGAGTTATCAATGACTAGATTATTAAAAAAAAATAAAGATTTCCCACACTGTAGTTCTATCCACTGAAGTACTTGTGCAATAACCATCGTTTTTACTTTAAATGCTATTAATTCCCATTTAGGGATCTAGTGTAGCTGTTCTGTGAATGACTGAAATTGGTGATTATTGCCTTCCACCAGTGAATGTTGACAATTGCTTAGTCGTTTGGTAAACGTTTGAAACATATACTAGGTCTAGTCAAGTACCATTGCCCTGTATACATTTGGCCAGTATGCCCTACATAAATTTTTTTAAGGTTCAGCGCCATTGTCCGGTATACATTTGCTTTGTATACCCTACACTGAGGTTTTTTAAAGTTAAGTGCCACTGCCAGGTATGTATTTAACTGGTACCCCAAACACTGATGTTTCTCCTAATCTATCCTTGGCAGATATTAAAATATTGAATAAATATAATAATATCAACGAATAAGTAAATATAAAATCGTATATAAGAAATATTTTGAATATTCACCAAAGCGACTATGTGATTGTTGACATTCACCGGTGAAAGTCGGCATTCTCTTGATTTCGGTCAATGCACAGTTAAATAGCTAATTTTTGCACTCATATTCCTTTTTTATTATATTTGATAAATCATAAATGATAACGGTGTAAGGAATTTTTGTTTATGGTTGTCACTTGCATTTAGATTACTCATTAGTTAAGTTCTCTTTCAAATATTTATATCAGTGTCAGGAACATACAGAAAGAAAAAAAACTCAAATTGGTTAACACATATTTGCCAAGCCCATGCACAAGTTACTTGTTCATGGAATTCATGGCAAGTTACTTGTTATGCAATTCAGAGAAATTACTCACACATGTGAGTAATTTCTCTGAATTGCATAAAATGAAAGTTGATTGACGATACATCAAGCATTGACCATTCTGAATGTTGTAATAAGATTTACGCAGTGCACCCTTAAAAATTTAGGCAATCTGTTGCAATTGGAATTGAACTGGCAAATTGTATCAGTGATTGTTTTCTGCATGTAGGCTAAGAAATTTTTGTTTTGATATTAATTTTCTTCAATTCGTTTTACGCTCACATGCTGTTAGAATTTGTAAATTACAGAATTACTTATGAATGGTAAAATTATGCATAAATTTAATCATAAATCATAATAAAACATCCTAGAATATTAAGCCTGTTCACTCATCGCCTCGTAAGCATAACATAAGCGGAGGGATACACCGGACGTTTTCTAAATTTCTTCCGGTTTTCGGAAGCTTGTTATTGTTTACATTCAGTCAACCATCCATTAAACATTTAGCCATATTTCTGAGGGAGGAAAAAAAGTTTGACTGCTTTATGTATAATTTCTGACTGTATTAATTAAGTGTACTGATCAATTAATTCTGACTGTATTAATTAATCTGACTCTATTAATTCTGACTGTAATTATTAATCTAACTATTTATTTCTGATTGTATTAATTAATAAAGGACAGTATTAATATCATTGTATTATGTATGAAGATTTTTTTCGGCATCACATATGTTTCCGTAATTTCAATCCCCACCCCCAATTTGAAGCAGTAACTTATTTTATAGTAACTTGAACAGACATAGTTTCAACTTTGATTTTTTTATTCCTTGTATACTATGTTTTCTAACACTTGATGCATTTTCTTCTGTTCACAGAAAGAAATTTGATTTTGATGATGACGATGATGATGATTTGTTTGGTTCAGGAAATAAAAAGAAAGCTATTAAAACTGAAGTTAGTACCTTTCAATTTTATTCAAAATTAAGCTGATTTTATAAATTTATATATTTTTTTTTCTATTTTTGAGAGTAGTTTTAACTACTTTTCAGTTAAATTTGGTAACATCAATGCTCAATACTTTTTTGTTATTTGTATTTGACAATAGATTACCCTGAAATTAAATTTATCTGAAAATAAATTAATGCTTATGAAAAGTACAATGTGCTCAATTTGTATGAAAATAATATTTTATTTATTTTCTTTCAAAGAAATCTGTGATTGAAGACTATTTTGACACACATTTAATTGAACATTTCTCTACTTCTTACCTTCCCACAGTCTAAATGGTGTATGTGTGAACCGTATCAAAAAGGCTTTTATAAATTCCATGTTAACTGTATAACTAACTGTCAGCAAAATTTAATTAATTATTAAACAATCTCCTGACACTTGTTTTGAAGCAAAAAATCAATAGGAAATCCCTGTGGAAGTGACTATGCATTTTATTCTTATCTTCTTGACTAATAAAAAGTCCTGTCTGTGTAGTGAAACATTTGCTATAATTGCCGGCCTGGTGGGTAAGTGGTTAGTGTGCCTGACTGCAAAGCCAATGGCTGTGGGTTCGAATCTCGCTCAGGGCATGGCTGTTTCTCTCTGTGTGTTGTCCTCTGTTGTGTGACTGTGGCCCACCCTGTAAATGAGTATCTGTGGCATGTTAATGTTGCTCACCTATGTGATTTAGGTTCACAGGTGCCCACTCGGTAACATTAAATGAGCAACACTTCCGGCATCTTTCGAGGTGAAGAACAAAGTTCAGTTTCTGCCATTAAAAAAAAAACATTTGTTATAAAAATTTATTATAATGCATTTAAACAAGGACTGGCAACCGTAAATTTTCCTTTAAATACGAAAATTTATCATTGATTTCATATAAAATAATTTGGTACCATTGAATTTTATTCGTATAAACGACTTATTCGATTATTTAATATGCAATTAAGTAGAAATGACTGTAAATGTAAATTCTTACTCGTGACTTGTAAGATTGCAGGTCTAGCTGTAGGTACAGTTGACTGGTAATGTCAGGAGTTTGAAGTGTGTAAGGATTGTTGCACTTCTTTTGATTATCTGTATTTATTTCAAAATATTTTAATTAAGGTTTTGATAAATTTTATGTTTGTTTATTTAATAGGCACCAGAAAAGAAGAAACCTTCTGAAAATGAAAAAGTACCTCCAGTATCAGAACCTGTTAGCAAAGAAAAAGTACTCAATTATTATTTCTTAATTTACATAGATTTTAAATAATCTATAGACTTCAAATAATCTATAGATTTTGAACAATTTATCGATTTTAAAAAATCTATATAATCTAAATACGGTACGCTCTCGATTATCCGTGCGCGGATTATCTGTGCTCATTCTGGAGTCACGCAAAAAATATAAGGAGAAATATTTTCAAGTTTAAAAAAATTTTATTCATGAAGTTATAACACTATTATTATATTTTTAAAATGTCTGTTCAAAGTTGCTGTTGTTTATTTCACTCTAAGTATTAATCTTATTTTGACGCAACAATATATGTACAATAAATTATAAAACTATGAAAATCAATAGAAAGATAAAAACAATCAGTTTTTTAAATGGATGTTTTCTTTAAAAAATAAATCTGATTGATTTAAATCTTAGATTCCCAACATTTTTTCGGTCATTGTTTACTTTGCAAGGCAAAAAAATTTTACCGTTGCCTTGCTAAAAAAAAGAAGAAGAAAAGCATTATTAAATAAATATTTAATAACATTTTTTTGCCCCTTTTTAAGTCTTTTCATATTTTTGTTGTGACACACTGTTTATAGCTACATCTTTAAGCTATTGATAATAACTTAGAGGTGTAGCTATAAGAATGTAATGATGAGCGACGTTATATTGGAACATTTTTAAATTCTAATTTTGAAAAAAATAACTCGTATGTAAAATTTTAATTGTTTGTATAAAAATAAATTTGATAAATCATTTTTGCAGTTCAAATGAAATGTTCAATTAAATGTTATTTTTCTTAAATTTCATACCAAATTTGTAATAAATGTTGTCATTTGGGAATATGATCAGGTCGATTTGTAATCCATTGTCTGTATTTTTAGCTCAGCTAATACTGAGAGAAATATATTTCAAAATCCAATCATATTATATTTTAAATGTTAACAGTAGGAATTCCGAAGTTTATCTTAGTATTTCCTTGAATAAATGAAAACTGCAAACGCGCATAAATTATGCACATAAACAAACAATATTTTCAAGACTTCGATGTAAAACGTCGGCAAAGTATGATAGTTTTTATTTATTTATTCATTTAAAAAAATCAGTTTTTAAAAAATCAAAATTTAAATCAAACTAATTTGAATCAACAAACCGTTCAATACAGTCATAAGTTACATTGTAATTTATATTGGCCTTATCCCTTATTTGATGCAGGTGAAGAAATTTATCTCCTGAAATTTAGAAATTTTATGAGAGACTTCTATAAAATGCATTTTTAAGTAGTAGTCAACTAAGTAATTTGATAAATAATCTGACTGATTATGGTTAAAAATCTGCTAAGTCTTGCAAACAAAAAGCAAGCTATAAATTAACTTTGTAAATGCACAGTAATATTTCTGTTGCAATGGAAAAAAAAATTTAATTGATATTATTAAATTTTTCTTTAGTATTTATGTTATGATTTTTATGTTTAAATTCTTTTTAGTATGTATTTTTATTATGGTATTAGTATTTTTGGGAAGTGCATAAGTAAGTCAGCATCACCCAATGTTAACATACATTCACTCCTCTTTGTTTGTAAACAAAAACCATGTGGAGGATGTGACCTCATAAGAAAGAGGTGACTTCATTATCATAAAGGAAGTGACATAGATTGTTTTTAAATGAGTTACTTGTTCAGTTGGGTGCTAGAGCAAGAAAAATAATCTAGTTTTATGTGTATGTATTTAAAATTGTTTTTGTAGATGTTTTTCCTGCAGAGTTTATTATTCTTTTGTTGTTGCTATGAATGTTTTAATATTAGCTTTTTTTAATTAGCAGCTTTTATTCAAAAGAGTATTAGTCATTATTCAGTCAGCACAAATAAATAAAATTCAGTACTTTTGATTTAACTAATTTTGGTTGTTTAAAAGAAATTTTTGTATTTTTGATATGAATTATTTTCTTCTCTATTTTTTCATTAATATTAAAGACTTTATGGTGTGCGGCTTTGAAGAGCAAATTTAGAGCTTTATATAATGGACTCATTCATGTAATGAACCTGACATTATTAACTTCTTTAAGCGACAAATAATAAGATGAGAAGGCCATGTTACCAGAATGAAGGAAGACCGTCCCACAAAAAGAGTTTTTAATGCCTGACCAGTTGGCACACGAAAGAAAGGCAGGCCAAATTTAACAGGAATAGATAACCTAGAAAACGAACTTTTGGTATTAAAAAAAAAGGAAAAATCTAGCAGGAAAAGGTTGGCCTGAAAAAAATTTCTTGAGAAGGCCAAGGCCCAACCTGAGCTGTCAAGTCACTGATGATGATTAGAGACCCTAATAATTAGACTAAATGTATTGTGAGAGATAGGCCGTATATATTTTCTTTAGAATTATGTAGGAGTAACTTGTTCATTCTGCTGGAAAGCACATGGAACTTAATTCTGTATAGATGGCTGTCCAAGGAATTTTATAATTTTTGAAAATGTTGCAAGCAGACTGAGATAAAATGAAAAACTTTCTATGAACACAAAATCAAAAAAAACTTTCTGCAAGCAATCATACCTCCTGCCACCTATTTTGGCATAATTTGTTTGAAAATCACCGATTTTTAAAAAAAAATGTTTTTATTTCTAAAAACTCTATATTGACTATTATAAATACCAGTGTGCCTGAAAGTCAAATGCAACGATGTAATTGCAGAAAAAGTGTGGCTGTGCAAAACAGAGAGGGAAATTATCATATCAGATCTCTGTAAGATTAGTCTGCGAGTTAAAATTTGGGAATTTTCAGTTTTTTTTTTAAATGAGTTGTACTAAAAAAAAATTTTTGATGTTGAAAAATATTGATCTCAAGATTAAATAGGAAATTTTGACTGCTTTTTGTTTATAACGAGTTTTACTGAAAAGGTTTCCACGGTGGTGAAAATTTTTCTGTGAACTGCATTTGTGCGTTTGTGTATATTATACATTGCAATTCGTGTCTTATGGGCTGGAATAGCCTGGTTAGCAAGGCGTTAAGCCCATGTCCAAGAGGTTGTCAGCTTGATCCCCGCCGTCCGAAGTAGGTTTCCCAGATTTTTACTTGAATATTTCAAAGTAAAAATGTTTTAAATCATAGTTAGCCAGACAGCCCAATGTGGGCCCATGCCTTCATTAATTGTGAGTAAATCAGACCCAACCGAATCAGTCCATCTCAAACGCGGCCTTCCCAGTTTTCTTGTTCCAGAAAAAGCAGTATCTTTTTTATCGTATTGTCACCACTCATTTGAATCATGTGGGCCATCCAATTCATTCTATTTATTTTTATGTATTTCAAAATATCGGGTTGTTTATAAATCTTGTACAGTTCAAAGTTAAATCTCCTCCAGTTATTGTTTTCATTTACACCATTTAGCATACTCTGCAGAATCTTTCTCTCAAATGTTATGGTGCAATTTTCCTCCAGTTTTGTCATTGTCCAAGCTTCAGAATCATTTATTATCACAATCATTTATTATCATTATTATCACAGTCAATTTTATTATTTTATTTCTATGGTGGTTAAAGTTCTTGTTTTTTTTTTATAAAAAAATAGAATATGTTTTGAATTTGTTTTAAAAAAGTAATTTCAATTATTTCGTAATTAAATATGTGATGTTATAAAAAAAAACTCAAATATTTTTTTCAAAAATTTCTATGCAGTCTTACAAGAAAATGGGAATGCCTCTACCAGGGCTTGTTGCAAAGAAGCCAAAAGATTCTATATTTGAAGACAGTGACAGCTCTGAACAGGTACAAATACAGTTATTTCTTCCTAAAAAAGTGTTACAAGTACTCTTTATAATTTAATGTTGTGTTTTTATAACAAGCATGAATTTTTTTAAGTACAATATTATATTTTTATTTTTTGCATTAGATTATCAAGGATGAAATTTGTGGAAAAGAAAAGCTAAGTTGGTTGATGACAGATAAAAATAAGGAATTATATTACTCATTAATCTATACACATTACATTATCTTTCCAGACAAATCAAAACTTTTAGACAAAACTTATAGAATTTAAAAAAAAAAGAAAATATATAGTTAAAGATTTAAAAACTCATTCTTGTTATAAACAACATATTGCAATCTTTTCAAATCCCTTAATCAGCTTGTAGTGTATCTACCACTACAAAAAATATAATTCCAATTCACTAGTATATAAGACATGCTAACTCGATTCTACGGTGGGGTACCTTTTCATAGATGAAGGTTGAGATTGTCGATAACTTCTCTCCCCACATTGGTGCCCTTCAGACGTGATGTGAACAGGCCTATCTTGACAGTAACACCTTTTTCGATCTGAACATGCCTACTTCGATGGATTATCCACTTTGAGCAGTTGACTTGCTACTTGTGACTGCGACATTATCCACCTCCTCGTGCCTTTGCTTCTCAGTCTCGATCACACACGACGTACAACATATACACTCGACTTCTAAAGGCAACGCAAGGGCGACCACGAACGTGAACTTAATACACCTCTCATGATCAGCACTCTAATGTGCGGTGATCTTAATATAGCTCTCCCGGCTTCTCACAGAACAGCAATGAATCAACAAGTGGTATCCGTTCATCGAATTCTATCACAGATATAATTCTGGTAGGGGAATACTGAAGTGTATCTATCACTACAAAAATATAAATCCAATTCACTAGTATATAATTCATGTCAACTGAATTCTATGGTGGAGTACCTTTTTATAGATGAAGGTTGACATTATCGATAACTTCTCTCCCCACAAGCTTCTTCATAAAACATGGTTGCCCTATTTTAGCTAAGTTTAGTTGAAACAAAGATGTAGTTTATTTCAATAATTATTTTAAACTGTTATGGTAAATGTATGCCAATTTCTTTTTTTTTAAAAAAAGAAATATGATTTTTAATTGTTTTTAGGGGGATAAGAAAACTAATATTCTGCCTTCAACTCGGCCCACAAAAGAAAAGAAAGAAATTAGCTTGTTTGATGATGATGACGATGAAGATGATATCTTTAGTCAGGTAATGGAAACTTTTGGTGTAATTTATTTTTTCCTTCCTTATTTGTTTGGAGATTATCCAAATTAGGAAAATTCATCAAAGCTTACAGATCATTATATCATAGTCATGCTTAAAAATTAATGCTTCATATTGAGTTTTAATGACTCATTTTTATGTTTTGTTTAATATAAACTTCATAACGTAACTTCTTTCATTGTTACATAATTCAGCTGAGTTACATAAATCAGCTGAAACGTTCAGGACAGACCCTATCTATTTTTGACCACTTTTGGTAGGCACAAAATTTTTCCATAGACTTTCTGTTGAAGAAAACCTTTAGAAGAGACCATCCAAACCTTTCCCAGTGACTGAGAGGCAAGCGCTGTATCCCCTGAGTCACCATGGACGCTTAGTTTGCATCTTTTAGTAGTATGGTATATGTATGCTATTCCAAAAGTTGTCCTGATTTTTCTGAAATATGTTCTTTCTTTGGCCCACTATGACTCCTGTAATTGTCTTGTTACAAATTAAAATCTCAATAATTATTTAATGAAGTATCTAAGAAAAATAAATAATTTATTAATTAAATAGTATTGTATTATGAAAAAGGGAGAGATTTCATAGTAAGGAGTGTTATAATATGCTGTAAAATGTCTTGGCAATAATATAAAAATATCTCACAAATAAGCATACTTTAAAACATCACACAAAACTTTGTACTGATCATTGCCTAGAACTACTTTTTTTCTCTCTGTTAAAAAAGGGTTGGATTCAGATATAAAGGGGCCTAAGGTTAATGTGTAACTTGGGACCCAGTCTATACCCATTGTTATTTAGACTTCTCGGTTTTTAATTAACTTGTCATATTTTTGCCAACCAAATAACTCCAAGAAATTGTAAGTCTTTTGTAACTTTTTGCAGAAAAGTAGTTGGTAAGCCAAATAACTGATAGATATTATATGATATAACTATATGTTTGTCATTTATTAATTGGGTATGCAACATATTTTGTGCCTATAATTTATTATTCTATAACATTGCATAACTTTTTTCTTCTTCTTTTAGAAACCTAAACTCTTTTCACCGGGAAAATCTCCTTCAGTTAAAAATAAACCTGAAGATTCCCCTACAGTCAAAACTGAAAAAGTATGAATCTGACTTTTATGTATAATTGGCAACAAAAAAAAATTTTTCTATTAATTTTTTTTATAATTTCAATGTTTTTCTTCCCCCCCCCCCAGGTAGTTACGAAGAAAGAAACTCCTCCTGTGAAAGAAACTGCCCCCAGTCTATTTGACGGTTTTGAGGAGGTAAGATAAAAATAAAGTCGTATCTTCTTATTTTGTAAATACATGCTATATTTCATGCATTGAAATGTGTATTATGAACCACTTACCAAATTCTAAATATTTTTAAAGTTTTTTTGAAGTTAAAAGATTTAAAAATACTGTTGAACCCCAATTTAAGGAATTTTTTGGGTTTCAGAATTTCACGTATTAAATCCGATTTACTTGTGATATCGGAGTAAAAAAAAAGAAATAAAGAAATTGCTTCAATCTTAAGCAGCAGCCTTAGTATACAACCATACGCTTCCTCAACCCGTCTTTTCTGTTCCCTACAACCAAATCTTCTCCACTATTGTGAGAGCGATAGACAAATATATGAAGAATGTGCAGGATGTGGATGCTGTGGAAAAGATTTGGTCCAGCCTCCTCCATAATCCTTTACCCATGGACCTTTCTAGGCAGATTTTGATAATGGTCACAGCCATCTTCACGATCACCTTCACCGATTTGGTGCTTTGGAATCTTCTGGCTGCAGTCTGTGCTCTGCAGGAGAAGGGATGAGCCTTGAACGCTTGACAAGTTGTGTCTTAATGACCTACCCCACCTATTCCACCTATTGACATTTATCTTCTGAAGGCTTTATAGCCCGAATGGCTCATTAGGCCATTCCCCTGGTGTAGGGAGAAAAAAAAATGCACTATATAAGAGCAAAAATCCACTACTAGAAATTGTATATTTTTTATTCAAAAGCTAAAAATATAGTGAATTTCGAATGTCCTTATTCAGTTTATTCATTTGCCTGGAAATTCAACTGTTTGAAACAATTTTTTAATTCTACTTTTGAAAGCTGTGTCCCAAGATTGTCTCCCCAAAATATAGAACATCAAACCGGTTGGCTTTATAAGGAATTTTTGTTGCACAAACTGTGGGGATGAATATTGGTAGTTGTAAATTGAAAATTTGGTCGGTTACAAAATAAACAAAAGAACTTTTTTCTTTTGATTCATTAGAAATATTTTTAAAAATGCAATATGTCTGTAAAAAGTTTTTTTTTCGTTTCTTTTGAAATTGCTTATTAATTTAGATATTATTATTTGTTAAATGGTTCTTTTTGAGGGAAAAAACTTTGTTAAATTAGACATTCAGTCAATAGTAGTTAAATAAATCAGGGTATAGACTGTATGGAAAACGGTAAAGTTTAAAAATTAGTGACTGAGTTCAATAGGACACATACCGTCAAATGTTAGTGCTCTGCAGAGCGGATTTCTCCTCTGTTTTGGTAGCCTGACAACTTCCATGCGAAGTCAACTACTTTACAGTAAAAGTGTTTAGCAAGGATAAATACCGCGCAGCCTCGGTCATCTCTAAGGCTGGTCAAAGTGATGTCACTGCTAGTGATCAACAAAATTCTCACTGATTGTGGTGCTTGACTTTTGTGATCTACTAGAAACCTCATTGCGTGAGAAAGATCCTCCTAGTGAACAATATGCTCTTCTATTTCAGTTTTTTTTTAACGAAAAGTATTTGACATTGATTATTTATTTTAATGTGTTTCTTTTTCTTATGTTTGTTTTTTTAAAACCTGCTAGGATGATAAGGCTATGTTTCCTGTACCCACAAAGAAAGCTGATACATCTTTGTTTGAAGAGAGTGATAGTTTTGATCTGTTCAAACCAAAAGCTGTTGAGAAGCAAAAGAAAGAAACTATCAAACCTTCACCTACAACAGTAAGTGATCATTTTAAACTTTTAAATCATCCTTATAATTTTTTCCGATTTTTATCATTTGCACTGAACACCATTTTACTTTCTTTTAACATTTTTATTATTAACCTGTTCAGGGTCTTATCACATATAGCTGATCAGACATTTATTACATCATGGCCTTGTTACCACATAAGAAACGATCCTTTCTAACTTCAGTGGCCCATGATTACTCAGAAGTGAACTCAATTCATTATGCTCGTATTATATTTTGTATTAGCATGTATACTATTGTCCCACAGTAAACTGTTTTCAAAGACACAGTTCCTAGTAGAATACCGAAGTCAAGCATCACTGGCTGCGGTCAGTAGGCGGGTGGGTGACCACCGACCTGCGTAGGGACCGAGGATGTGAGATATTGGTCCTCGTTAAACTGTTCTACCTTAACGTGCTCGACTTTGCTCGCAAATCGTTGAGCCATCCCCTCTGTAGAGGTCCAAAATTGTGATGGCATGTCTTCGGATCTCTTCCTCAGGGATGTTTTTCAGTTCGTCCATCGCCAATAGCCCATTGTGCAGCTCCAGTGCAACATACATAAAGTACCCTATGTATACTCTCAGAGCATGCAGACCTGGGGAAATGCTTTTTTTGCCTGCTCTGAGCAGGTTAGTTTACTTTTGTGTGTAAAGAGAAAACCCTTGCACACAAAAATCCTGATAATAGAAATTCTGATCATTTACCAAGTAACTAAAATTATCATATCTCAACTGGAGCTCTGTGTCTGATGGCATTTCAAGTTTCAATTCTTTGTTGGCCATTTTTAGCAAAATTTATCACTAAAGGGAATTTATACTCAAACAACATTTCAATGACTTTTAAACTTGCTACAGTACTCCAATTATAACTAGAGCTGTAAACCTGAAGAGGATAAGAGCTTCAATCATTTCCTGCCTGCTTCAGATAAATTTTATTTTGTAACTAGCGTTGAACAGTCTAACTAATTTTTTTGTTTTCGTTTTCAACTATCAATATTTAATTCCATAGCCTTGTTAATTTGAACCCAACCTAAAAGACTAAATTACTCCTGGATCAATCATTGAGAAAAACTAACTGTGTGAAGGACTTTTTGAAGGAACTGATTCTCTTTTGAGTAACATGAGGAAGAAAACGACGAAGATTAACTTGACAGCAAGGGGACTCTTACCAGTAATCCATCTACTATTGAGGATATTTTACGTCAGCACTGTGATCAATGGGAGTAGAATTTGTATTGACCTGCCATCATCGGGATTTGAACCTGGATCACCTTATTGGGAAATAAGTGCTCTATCTCCTTAATTACCACACCTCAGACAAATTTTATTGCCAAATGCATTTTATTAGCTATCAAAGTTTTGACCACTTTCTAATTAGCTAGAGTGATTAAATATCAACTCTCTGTGTGCAAGTTAATTTTTTGCTCTGCTAATTCTCAATCCAATTGTTTCCTTGTTTCTATCGGTAGTTATCATTAATCAAAATTTTGACCCTTGTATGACTTGCTAAAGTTTTAAATTTCAACTTGAGGATGGTACTTGATGAAACTTCAAGTTACAGTTGTTTCCCCGCCACCCCGCCTCAAAAACTTATTTATTGCTATACTTTAACCAAATAGAATTTGTAGTTGAACCGAATTTTGAAACTCCTAAATTAATTTCAGTGTTCAATTTTAACAGGGTGCGTAGCGTTTGTAAAAAGTACTTAAAGGTGCTTTTTTGGGGATTTTGTTTTTAAAAGCTTTTAAGGGTGCTTTTTTCAGCTGGCGTTTTTAAAAAGTGCTTTTTTCCGAATAATTTTTTCTTCCCTTCAGTGATATCTGGTGGATCCCATGCATTTCACGAAAAATGGGGAGTTTGCTACGTAATCATTCACGCGGACTTCATGTCATACCCACGTTATGACTTGCGCATGCGCGCACACTTCAAACCAAAACCCGAGTGCTCCAATTCGGATAGAGAATATCAGATCCTTATGAAATGCTTTTCTTTTTAATTTATTTTAATTTTATTCTTGTTTACTTTATTTTATTTTACTTCTAACACTTTTTTTGACGTAGGGGGTAAGGGTACTTTTGTTCTGAGTTCAGGGTCAAGTTGAATTCACTCAGTGATGTGGGAAAGTACTGATTGTTTCGATTTACGCCCGTTTCTTTTCTTTCTTTTTTTTAACGCGAAAACTGTTTATAAAAAGTTTTTGTTTTTCAATAATATCATTGATTGAATATGAATTTTTTGAGTGCTTGAAAAGTTTTGTAAAGTGCTTATTTTTGATTCAAAGATTTGGCTACGCACCCTGTTTAAACTGAATCTTTGTGCTTTTTACCAAACAAGTTACATTTATTTCCTGACTGTTAATTACTACATTATCACCAAGTAGAAATCATCCTTCAAAATTTTTTGACCTCTTTCTAACAGACGGATATAAAACTGAAGAAAGGAAAACAAAAAAATTATTTTTTTCTCAATCTTGAAACAAAAAGTGTAGGATGAATCATTTTCATAATAAATTTTTATCACCACGAAAAGCTCCTTCCAAATCTTTTGAAATCTTTAAAATCTTGCACTTCAGGTTTTTCATTATGTGTCTAACTTAACTATGTTTATTTTCTTCTTTAATGCTCTCTGAAAAATATAGTTTTGAGAATTTATATTTTATTTCATCACTTAAAATTAAACATGAAAAGCTCTTTTAATGCATTATTCTAATGATATCTAACTTGACTCGGGGAACAGAGCATTCGCTGTCCTGGGAAGTGAACCGAGTTCGAATCCCAGCAATGGCTGATTGATACGAATTCCGCACCCGGCTCCCACCGACCACAGGACTGGCATAAAATATCCTCAGTTGTCGACAGATCATGGGTTAAGAGTCCCTTGCCGTCAGATGGGAAATTTTTGTGCTTTTCCTCTCCGTGTAACATAAAATGCCGGTTAGCTCCATCAAGAAGTCCTCCACATAGCCAAATTTTACCCAATACTTGATCCAGGAGTTCCCTTGTCTTTTGAATTGGGTTCAAAATTATAAGGCTTCGAAGTTAAACATTAGTAGTTGTAAACTCAAAACATTTTAGTTGGCTGTTCAGCAAGAGTTATAAAATAAAATGAAACCCAATTCACATTAGATATTTATTTGGCTTCTGTTATGTGTATCATTTGTAGCTACATTTTGTCTTCTATCATGGTGCGTAGCGGTTTTAAAAAGTGCTTATTTTCAATTTTGTTTTTTAAAAGCCTTTAAAGATGTTTTATATCGGGTGTTTTTAAAAAGTGTTTAATTTTCCATTTTCGAGAAGGAGATTTTTTCTTTACCATGTCTATTTTCGCCATGCATTAAGGCGTGCTTTTCACAATGTTCTATTAAGCATTTTCGCCACATTCAACCACAAACCATTTCGGTGTACCTTCGGTTGGTGGCGTTTGAAAGCGCTAATCGTTTTACATGTTTGAGGAAATGCTTGCATGCCCGCATATGATTCTACTGAGCTTGGTTCGGTAAGATTATTGCTCTCTCATGTGCAACTTTTCTGCATTTTGCAAGATAATCTCAATTTCAGGCTTCATTTTCCACCCTCTGATATGGAACCGAAAAATCTTTTGATCAGTTTATAAATCAAAAAAAGAGTTCTTGGTCAGAAACTAGTTATTTTATGATCATGTAAAGTCTTTGAAAATTATTTTGCATTTTGTTAATGTGTATAGTACTTAAAAATATTTTTTGAGGGCTTAAAAAGTACTTATTTTTTGTTGGAAGATTTGGCTATGTGCCCTGTCTTTGTATATTCAAGAATTATTTAGCTACTGTGTCATGTTCTAGATCTTATATTTCTTTCTCTTTTAGAAGGATGATACGCCCGTGTTTTCCTCAGAAGTTACTAAAAAAGCTGATACTTCCTTATTTACAGAAAGTGATAATTTCGATCTATTCAAACCAAAAACTGTCGAGAGACAAAAGGTAGAGCCCCCTAAATCTGCCCCCACACCTGTGAGTTTAAAAGTTTTTTTTAAATTTCTTTTTACCGTATTTCATTTCATAATCATTTTGTTTTAAAAAAATTTTATGTTTCATGATTTTTCAGAACTTTTTCTTTAATTTTTTTTTAATTTTCATTTTATTTTTAATTATTATTATATATAATTATTAGTTTTAAATCTAAATATTTTTATTTCAGATTTTCAAAAAAAAAAGTTGCTTGAAAAATATTGAAAATACTTTTTGTAACATGGCTATAAATTTTTCATTCAAGATTTTAAGTTTTCTATCCCTCTTTAACAGTTTTTATTTTTTTATCTTTTCCTATTAAATATACTTCTACGAGTTGCCTGTTATAAAATTTCTGTCTTCCTTCACAAACTCAATTTTCCACAGTTCATCCCACTTTACAGCTTTACCTTTCCTTAGCTGACTTTATAAGCCTCGCTCTTAAACCACCCTATTCGTTTTTTAAAAAAATTTTTTAAGCGTAAATCATGCACAAAACAGCTGTTTTGAAGGGATAAAGAAAATGTGTGTGGAGTCATTGATTTTCATTTACTTTCGAATTATATGGCAAAGTATTTATTTTAATTTTAATTTCTGATATGGTTTTTTTTCTTTGAAAAAAAAAAGACCTATCTAAGTCTACACTACGCAGAAAAAGCGAAACCAAAGACTACAATAGCACATTTGTTCTGCCTTATTTCTGTAGTTGTATTCCGGGGGTACCCCGGAATTCCAGATTTTTCGTATCATTCTTCCGTGTCTTAGAACTAGAATCAGGGCAGACGATTTTTGCGCGAATATCGTAAAATTCCTCATATCTCAAGATTAGTGGTTTGCGAACTAAAACAAATCAAAAAACCATAATCCGACAAAATTTTGCAGCTTTTGCTAAATCCCGTTAATAAGACATTTACATATGTTCTTCTGCCAATTGCGACTTACGAGAATACTACAATGTTTGGTTTGGTGGATTTTAGACATTTTGAATGTTTGGAACTGCGTCGGAATTTGCTGATATCGTGATTCTTATTCAGGTGATTTTAATATCAAACATCGATTTTGGTATTTTCCTGATTTAAAAGCTGCCCATTGCGATTCATATTCAAGCGATTTAAAAATCGTACATTGCGATTCGTGTTCATGCGAGTTTGAAATCCAATCCCGTAATTCATTAAAAATGCAATATTGCAATTCGTGATACATCAAACATCGATTTTCGTATTTATACGTGATTTAAAAACTACGCATTGGGATTCGTGTTCACGGGATCTAAAAATTAAGCGCATTGATTCATATTTACGCTAATTAAAAATTCAATATCGCATTTTTTCCCATACTTTTAAAATCCAGTATCGTGATTCGTATTCACACGATTTTAAAATCCAATATTGCGATTCTTGTAAGAAAAAGTAAATTTTTTCTTGTATAAGTTACTCTAAAGGTATGATATTTTGCATTAATAGGTAATTTAGTTACAAATGTTTGGTATAAAACATATGTTAAATATGAAACATGTATGGTATATGCATTGATATCGATTTAATTGCATGCAAAAATTTTTTGGTTTTTTACTTCGTGCCCCTGTTAATTTTGAACTGAAGTTAACAACTAGGTTTCAGTTTTGTAATTTTAAGAGTTTAATTGATTATTATTAAATTTACAAATAAAAAAAAATATATATTAGTGAATAAATGCATTTTTTGTTTTAAACAAATAAAAAGTTTTGTTGAATCCTTGAATAATTTGCATTTTTAAAAAGCATTTCAAATTTTATTTTTAGGTTTCCAAACCTAGTGAAGCTTCTCTTTTCAGTAGTGCAGATGAATCTGATGGGGCTACTTCTACTAAATTAGCTGTGAGTTATTTTAATATTTTTTTTATATAAGTCTGTGAAGAAAAACATTATTTGTACCTGTTTTTTTTAAATTGCAACAAGCAGAAACAACTTTTTAAGGAACATAATTTTTTTTTTAATTCACTATTGGGAAATCTAACAAATTGAAAAGTTTGAGTATGAAAATATATTTGATTTGATTAAATAAAATAATCTCACAGTGATTAAATATAATAATCTTGTGTGTAAATTAGTATTAAAATGCAGTTTATGGTTGTATGGTTATTAAAATACTAGTTCTGTGATGTCAGAATCTCTTTATTACTGATATTTAGTTCCCAATTCTTCTAGATGTTTTTGTAGTTTACTGGATTTTACCTGTTCTTCTGGCTTTAATCAAAATTTCTTCTCCTTTCTATATATTTTAGAAAATTCTTCAATCTGCCTGAAAAGAAAAACTTAATAAAATCCCACACAAAAATTAAAGATATTTTTTGAGGTTGTTTTGAGGTGTCAAGGTTGATTTGAGATTTATTTGCAGTTGATTTCAGAAACATCCTTAAAAGATCACCCTCCCAAGGTGTATGAAGTTATTATATTTGCACTTGAGGTTGATGGTTTAGAGTAACCCAGCTTAGGGAGGCTGTTTTTGAAGTGTATGGAGTTTTTCCCCACACTTCAAGCAAATAGCACATATATTTGAGGTGTGAATAATTTCACTCAATCTAAACTTAAATTATTTCTGAGTTATATATGAGGTTGATTTTGTGATATGTAAATAAGGTTGAAATTGAGGTTTAATATTTATGGTTCTAAATATAACCACATTTTCTACCTCAGATGTATTTTTTACATCTGGCAACCTCAAAAACATGTTTTTTTGTAAGGAATAAAGTTTTTAATTAGCTTATTACTTGTTTGAGTATTTGAAAAAATGAACTGCCAAATAATTTGAACAACCAAGTTTTATAATTATCACTTTAAGCTTTTTTTCGAAGAAAAAAAAATAATAAAATTTTTTAGTTTCTTTATTCTGAATTCTCTGTTTTTAAATTTAAATTTTTTTAATAACTATCTAAAATGAGTTCTATATCTATTTCCATTCAAAATTATGGAATCAAGAATGTGTTGAAAACATTTTAAAGTTTGTTTAATGTAAATCATAAATGGAAAATACGGTCAAGTTTAGTTGACTTGTTTAAATAAATGCATAATATACATTAAGACCATTGTTAGGTTATATTTACAAAATATCCTTTTTAATACTTGGCTTTTTTTATTACATTTAGTCTTTTGTTTAATTTGATAATTTTTATCTCTAGTTGATTTGTTTAAATAAATATAATTCATTTTAGAAATCATCATCACCTGTTAAAACTGCTCAAGAGGCTGAAGATGGTGTTCTGGGATTTGATGTCCCTGCAGATAGTTCGAAAACATTGAATGTGATCAGCAAAGTAATGCAATCATTTTTTCTAACTTTCTTAGCACATGATTAGATTTTTATCTGGGACTTTTTTTCTTCATATTTGTCCATTTACATAACAAATGAATAGGTATTTCTTGTTAATTTGTTATATAATTATGAAGCATTCCCTATTAATTATATAACATTTGTGATTGTAGTTAGTATCACTGTCTCTCAAAAGTTTAACATATTTTGAAGCAACAAATTTTGTTTTGCTACTCACTCTGACTATATTTTTGGATTTCAACTTCCAATAATGATTACCATATATCCAGTTGTATAAGTTAACAAAACATGTAAATATTTTTTTGTTGTTGTTGTTCAAAACATTAAATGATGGCTACTAAAGCAGTTTTCCATTAAAATATGTTGCTTTTTTGCATAAATGATTTTTGCAAAGTTCTTGCACTTTTTTATTGTATTTTAGAATGATAACTATAAAAAAATTTTTTAAATATTTGTTGGGATGTTTTTGGCCTATCCATGGATAAAGTGTTGGGAAACATTTGTAAACAGCAACAAAAAAGCTTTTAGAAAATAAAAATAAATAAATGAATATGTGTATATGAATAAATAAAATAAAATAAGCAAATGTGTTTATTTCCTCAAGTTAATTACTTCATTTGTAGTTATGGCTGAATGATATGTATTTTGGCCCTGGTTCACATTGCAGTGAGCATTTACTCAAGTTTATTAATTTATTTGCAGTGAGGGCTGGCTGATACATATTTTGCTCTTGGTTCACGCCATTTGCAGTGTTGATGTAAGTAAAGTATTCTTATGATATTGTGCAGTAGAATCTTTCATGTTGGGCAAGCCATGGAAGGTTTTTGTGCTTTCCCTCTTTATGTACTACAAATGCGGATTAGTTCCATCAAAAAGTCTTCCAAGAATGCTAGAGTGTCCAATTCTTGATCCAAGAGTTCTAGTGTCTTTTGTGTTGGGTTCAAAATGACAAAGCTACAGAGTTTAACATTGGTCATAAACCAAAATGAGTCGGCTATTCAATCTGGTTATTAAAAAAAATGAAGGAAAAGTTGAAGGTGTATAACGACGTCAACATCTAAATGTTGGTTTTCTGTATACAATACCCAATCATGGCCAAGCAGTTAGTCCCGTTTTTCAAGGATTTATCTTTTACTTGTTGCTGTAGGATTGCCAGAAAATATTGGCTATTGGTCACAGGTTTTGAACAGCGTCTGAGTCTGTCATTCCAAACTTGGTTTGAATGTTTTTTTGCATCTCTAGTAATCATTTGATTTATTTTGTAGGATAGAGTCAAAATAGCATCGAAGAGAAGAAAACCTACCAGAAAAGGTCGCCTGGCGGCCATAGAGAGCAGCGATACGGACAAAGTGTCTGACGAGCCCACATCTTCTGCCCCAACTAAAAGCAGCCTTGGTCCCAGTGATGACCTGTTTTCAAATGAAGAGCCAGAAACTCATCCAACTCCAAAACCTGCATCAATCCATAAGTCCCAGGAAAAAAAGAAAATGGACCTCATGTCCCAACTCATGAGTGAAGCAGCATCTTCCAAAGTTCTAAAAAAAACACCCAAGAAAGTTGAGGAGGAAGAGGAGGAGGTGGTGGACATATTTGCCGAACTGGATGGAAAACGAGATGCAAAGAGTCAGTCCTTTTCTTTTAAATCTCCCATCGAAAGCACCGTCAAGAGCAAGTCTGATTTTGTCGATGACGATAAACCAAACGAAGAAGAAGTCAGTAGTGTTTTGGTTTCTGATGAGGCAGAAGATGATTTCTTTAGTGAACCCTCTTTTAGAAGTAAGAAATATTTATTTAATTAAAAAAAAAACTTTTTCATAACTGCCTTTACTTCCCAAAAAGTTGGTATTCATCTATCTAAAGCTGGGTAGACTTAAGCATAGCTGCCAACTCTTCTGGATTTTCCAGTAAACTACTGGATTTTGCCAGTTTCTCCTGATCTACTGTTTTAATTAAAATTCTCCTAGTTTTTGTACATTTTAGAAAATTCCCTAAAATTGATTAAGTTTCCTAAAATAATCCCTATTGAATTAGAATTTTTGTGCAGATTATTGCTCGCTTGCTTAAATATTTAACTAACTATTACTAATACAAAATGAAGCAAACCTCATTTATAGAAATCAGTTCAATACTTTTTTTGTCAAAAAATGTTGAGTTTATTTTTATTCACAACTCTCTTTTCAAATTAATTAAAAAATTCTTTTAACTATCTTCGATGAATTAAATGCCTTTTAATATTAGAAATTTTGAGTATCACATAATAATAGAAGTATATTTAATGTCAATCATAACTGGAAAAATTGCAGTTTTTCTATTTTGATGTCTATAAAATTCCCTATGTGCAAAACATTTAGTGCATTATCCCTTTCGCGCCGACTGTCACATATACGTGCCAGCAAGAAACACGCTCACTTCCCGGCCGACACACGCGCTTGCCAGAGCATCCTCTCGTTCACCCCCGGCTGTCACTCATTTGTGCCAGCGTTTTGGAACTTTTTGAAGAATAAATTTTCTGCCAGAAGATGGCATTGTATGTCCATATGGTTTCAGATACATGTAGATTTGACCTTCTACTTAATATGAGAGTACATTCACGTGGTTTATTGTGGGAAAGGAATGTTTTATGACAGCTCTTGAAATGTGCACATGGTATTTGTTTACAGTAAACGGGGGAGGTTTTTTCTCTCGCTACTTTCGATTTTCAGTTTAGTTTTTAGTGAATAGTTAGATCTTGTAGCTGGTTAGCTTGCTCCTGTTTTAAAATAAATATATATTTAAACAAGAAATAACTTAAGTAAATCCATAGAATCCATAAAAATATATATAAAGCATATGTCATTTGAATACTCTACAGAACAATATTAAACAACGCATTGATATTTCGGTAATTTCATGGAATTAGGCTAAACAGCAAAAAACCCTCTCGCCCTGGAGAGACACGCATGAGAGAGACTGCCGGCCTGAGTGGTGAAGCGCTTTTTTGCTTCCCGTCGTGAAAGGGTTAAGTAACAATTATCATGAAATATATATTATTTCGTAAAATCTACTGGATTTTTCTTTTATCTATGTTGGCATCTATACTTAAAGCTGCCACTAGGAATCAAACTTCAGTCCTTCCCAATAACAGTTCAATGCCTTAACCACTGAGCCATTACGGCTCATTAATTTTATTGCTCTGTCTTAAATTACTACATGGCTCTTACGGGTCAGGGAGAACCTTGAATTCTCTGGGAATTTTATTTTGACTCTAAAAAGCAGAGAATAGTCAGGGTAAAATACAATTTTTTTCAAAAATCTGGAAAATTCGTATATCATGCCTGGAAAATAACCTATCTCAGAATCGCCAGTAACACCAATAAGTCATTGATATTAGAGTAAGTAATTCTAGCATCTATTACAAATATTTACTGCAAAAACGTCACATGTTGGTGACACATGCTTTCATCCTTATTTGATGATATTTAAATGTTCACAAAATCTAATATTTAACATTACAAATAAAAAATAAAAGTTTTCTGATGAAAAATTGCACGGTATATGTAAAATATGGTCTGAAATTTTCTTCATAAACCTGGAAAAGCCAAGGAATTTTTTTTCTGAAATTAAGTTGGTACCCTGTAGTAATTTCGTTTTTGTGTGTGTTTAATTGTAAACTAAAGAAGGGTATTAGTTTGTTAAACTTGATTAAAAATATTTTCTTAATTTATAACTGATTTTTTTTAGAGTTTTGCCTCAGTTATATTATGCTTCTCAGAGCAAAGCGTACCAGAATTTGTATATATCGTATTGATAAACCAGAATTGTTTGTATTATTATATCAGAATTTGTTTTTACAAAGATTGTCATTGTAAAGCAATAAAATTTATTTCATGCAAATGTGATAGGTCAGAATTCTTAGTATGAATTTGGTCAACTCAAATTACTTTTTGAAGAAGAAAATTGATTTGCTTTGAATTAAAATATTTCGAAAAATGTTTCTCATTTTGTAATCAATTAAACATTATATTACTTTTTTTTACAGAATTTAGCAGCAGCATACCAAAGAAAGATCCTATATTAGATATGGTATGAATCTTTATATTATAACATATTCTATTTCTTGCATTCATGTTTCTATTCAAAAGGGTCTAAGTGACAAAATTTTTCAATAGTCTATAGTTATAGTTAGGGTTCTAACCAGCAATAAATATTTAGTGGTCCAGTAGGACCATCTACGTAGTCATTTAGTGGTCAACATGTAGTAGACAAAATTGCAAAAAAATAATCGAATCTTACGATTATATAATTCATGTTATGCTACACATCAAAAATATTGACATGTATAACACTTAAAAACCAATTTGGTTATTTATCCCATAATGATAGTATTCAATGAAATTAAGTGGAAAAAAAAAAAGCTAAATTGAAATTTGTATACTCTTTTGCAAATTCCAAACATATTTCGCCCCTGCGTTTGATTTTAGCAACATTTGTCGCCATGTTCGTCCCCTAGTTATGGTTTATTATAGCTAGGGATCTAATTAAAAGAAATAATTGAAAATCTATTATTTCCAATTAAAACATCAATTTGCTTTTAGGTTGGACTTAAATAATGTAAGTGGATAATTTAGGTGGATAGTGAATTAACTTCTAGTGAATATTTTTGCATAATAAGGAGATAGTGTGCATTTTGTGGCTGAATTTCTTGCTTTGGGAAGAAGATGAATGTAAAAGAAAAGATATTTATAGACTCCCTATATTAAATAATTTATTACCATGAATAATTTATTTCCCTTTTTGAATATTTGCCATTATATTTATCCTATTATTATCATATTTAATTATTATAAACTCCATGTATTCCTATTTTTTTGTTGGTAAAACTTGTTTTATTAGACCAGTATTTCCCAAACTTATGAGTTTTGTGTATCCTTTCTAAATTTTTCGTAACGCTGTGTACCACTGATAAAAAAAAATAGTATATTTTTTAAAAAAAAATTTTTTTTTCGTTCTAAATTTTGTTAATAAGTTTATTTGCATCAGTGAGAAGGATGATATTGTTTTTGCTGTGATAAAAAAAATGGCACAAAAGTTAAAAAAACACATCTAGCTGTTGACACCATTAATTATTAACTGTTAACTCTGCAAAAAATAGCCAATAGAAAAATTTGTAATCGTAAATTTTCATGGCTAGCTTTGTTTTTAAGTAAGTTGCAAAATATATCGCATAAGAACGCATACCCCCGCTAAACTGTTCCTGTACCCCTGGGGGTACGCGTACCACACTTTGGGAAACATTGTATTAGACCAACAAAATATATCTAGAATTGTATCCTAACAGTGTTTTCATCATAGAAAAAAAATGGGTGAGAATTTCTAACCCTTTCTCAAAAATAGGGTGAGATTTCAGAAAGTTAAGTGAGATTTCTAAAAACTAAAAAAACACAGATAGACTTGAAAAAAAATCATTTCTCTTATTATAATACATTTTTACGTCTTCTATTTTTAAAGCATTGAATATTCTTGCTGCATCATCATAGAAGATTTTGCCTTTACTAGGTATTTGTCCATCTTACATTAGTGCATGAAAAAATTTGAACGTCTTATGTAAAAAACCATACCTACAGTAAACACGTGGCTGCAGANATTTATAGAATGCGCGAATTTCTCGCAGTAATCATTTTTTAATGCGAGAAAAGAAAACAATATGCGAGATTTTCGCGTTCTCGCGCTGTAGTGAAAACACTGTCCTAAGGACATTTTTTACAAAGCACTTTTTATATAATATAAATTCCATCATATTGATTTGCAATTAACATAAGTTTTACTTAAAAAATGTAATCAACTAATATTTAGGTATTGTATATTTAATACTGCCTTTTCTTGAAGTTGCTAAAGAAAATAAATATGCTTTAAGACACAGTAACTTCATCTATGAATATGTTTGTAATATGAATATGTTTGTAATTTTATCTGTAAAATGTGGCATCAACATACTATTTTTTCTAACTATTATTTTCCATAATAACTTTCATATATCTTATGGAATGATGATAGATGAATTAATCAGGGATGATATTCAAAAATTTCATACTTCTCTCATTTTTTATTTTATTTAATTGGACAACAAGACAATATTTTTTTTTCTTCAATGTTTTCATTGGGATCAGAGTAAAACTCTGGAAGAGAAGGTTATTAGAAACTCTTTCAGTTCAGCCAGTTAGAATTAAACATAGAAAAATTAGGTCTCTTGGCTGAAAAAATAGGTCCCCTGTTCGATATCTTTTCGCTAGATTTCTCATAACCAAATAGACACATATTTTTTTAAATTAGTGATTGAATGAAAGATGTATTTTTCTTTAGGCTCAATTTATTTTGAATGATATATTCATTTGGAAAATATGTTTGTACTTTCAAAACCCATGTAACGTGTTGATAAATGTACTAAATTTTCTTGCTGTATTAGTACTAATATTATACTCAATTTAATATTTCCATTTTTTATGGCTCTGATTTTTTCTGTTTTCTTTTCTCGTAGGATGATGATGACGAGGACGACCTCTTTAGCATCAAACCAAGCTCTACCCTCAAACCGAAGACAGATGCTTCTGATGTTGACATATTTGCGGATGAAGCTGACATATTTGCTGACCTGCCAAAAGAGAAATATGAAATGTTCCCGAGTCAGCTGTATGACGATGAAGGTTGGTTTACGCCATTAGTCACATTCACGTGCAAATACTCACAACTCTGTGTGTTTATATTAAACATTTACAGGTGTCAATTATTGAGCTATATGAAATAAAAATGAAATTTTTAAAACGTCTCTTCATCAGTGGTGTGACAGTGTAGGATGGGTCCTGCCCTTCTTCAAAATTTGATACCTAGTAACCTTATCTTTGGCTCTGTTTTACCATCTGGCTATTTATGTTGGTTTGGTTATAAAATCTTTTTTTGGTGATCCAAGTGACCTTAACACCAATTACATGTCTAACACATCTTGACCTTTAGGTGTAAAAACTAGTTATATCTGGATTTTCATAAATTCTGTAAAGCTCTATATTTGTCCAAATTCCATTAACTAGAACCCCCAAAATTACATTTTAAAACTTTTGTCTCAAAAGTGGATATTTTCTTTTTATGCCAATGTCCAAGTTTCAGCTGCATAAGTTAAAATAATAAAAAAGCATTTAAACAATTTCAAAATTGCAAGTATTTAATAATTTTGCATTTCTTAAATTAAATATTCGCTGTTGAAAAAGGCATAAAATGTCGATGGTTAAATGAACAAATTCGAAAAATATGTTTTGAAATAACAAACTGGCTCATTTAAACATGAATAAATATTTATTAAATATTCCTTTATATTTTGCAAAAATTGTATTTTAATTAACATATGTCTTTAATAGTTTTTCTGACGGCAAATGACATATTATTGTAATTTCACAATTGATTTTATGATTACATAACTTTAATGAACAAAGTATTATCTAAGAATAGCGAAACTGACATTATTCGTTTGCAGGTTTATTTACTCCTTTACAGAAGTGACATTATAAGTTTTTGTTTGCCAATTAATAGAAAAATAACTTACGTTTTAAAAATGTATTTTTCAGATGATGATGACATATTTAGCAGCTTAGGACCATCATCTAATAAAGTTGATAAATCTGCTAAAGCTACAGTTCCAGTTAAAAAAGAAACTGAGAAGAAAGTTGTTAAAGAGGTTGAAAAGAAACCTGCATTTGAAGATCCTTTGACAGGATTATTAGGCGGAGATTAAGATTGAAAGACTTTTTTAGTAATTAATTAAATTTTGTAATTTATAAGAGTAAATTATTGAAAACCAAATTTGTACATTTGTGTATAGTTTGCTTTGTATATAATATAAATTTTGTATACTAAATTTTTAAATTTGATTATTGTAAAAATCAGCTTTGCCACTGATCACTTTGCACATTTTGTAATTACTTGCAAATTATAAAATTTGAGACTACTTAATAATTATCTTTAATAGAGTGTAATCTATGTAACGGGTTCATTAGGCTAATTGGAAAATTGGGCTCTTTGCTGGGTGTTGTCATTTTGTAGATGTGCTAGGGAAATTTGAAAGTTTCCAGTATTTTCTAATCAGACTAAGAGGTTTTAGGATTATTTTACTAAGCTATCATAACTTTAGGATAATTCGAGAATATATCTTCTATTAAAGAAGTTCCCAAAAAGTGTTCCATGGGGTTACATGGAAGGGTTCATAAGGTAGGATCTTTTTTTTTAAATATCTTTTCATAACTTTGGAAACCTGTCATTATATTTAGATCTGAAAAATAATTCTTCATTTAATATTTCGTTTTTAATAGAATTTTTATTGTAAGTAAAAAAAAGGGCAAAATTTAAGCAAAATTAATTTTAATAAATAATATATTGAATTAACTAGGAAAAAGATATGCATTTATTTTAAAAATTTTTTTTCAATTTTTCTTATAACAATTTCCAAATCAAAATAAAAGGTTTAAATTCATTAATAAAGAAATATGTTTCTCTAGCAGCCATTTTTAACATTTATAGTTCTTTTTAATTTTTACTTCAACAAAAACCATAATTCTATTATTTATACACTTTCAATTAACTAATGCACACTCCAAAACTAAGATGCAATATCAGGCCTGAAAATTCAGCTGTTTTATTCTTATCATTAAACATTTTCAAAATAACTAGTGGTCTTTATTGGTTAACAACTTTCACAATTCCTCCTATACTTTATGTGTGAAGTCATGTGTTGCTTCTCTATTACTCAATCAGTTGGGCTTGTTTTAATAAGCCATATGAAATTTAGATTGATCAGGCAGTTCTTCTAATCTTTTAATTATCCTAAAGTCAATGGGCTGATTGCAATGATTTTGAAAAGCACTATACTGAATAAAAAAATATTGAAAACTTTTGAAGTGATCTTGGGAATTTGCAAAATGAGGACAACATTTGCTGAGCGTTTGATTGACGTATACTGCCTGCCGTGTAATTGAAAAATCAAGGTAGGCGACAAAAAATTCAAAATTGGGATTTTTATATATTTTGCATCTTTGTATGGTACGCTACATATTTTTTAAAAAAAAATTTATTAAATTTTGTTTTATCAGTTTTTTGAATATGTATTTTAGTGTTCATAGCATTATCAATAGAAAGAAAATAGTTGTCAAGCCATTTTCCTCAGAATCTATTGTGAAGTTCTTACATTTTTTTTCAATTGCACGACAGTATAAATTTTTTTTTTACTTTTTTGTGTGTACTTAAGTAAAGATATTTTTGTTAGCATTTCTGTACTTGCAATATAAACTTAAGTTAATTGATTCTTTTTCTGTAAAAGCATATTGTTTCCTCATCTTACTTACTTTTAACCAATCTTATAATAAAAAAAATTTTTGTTTTGTTTTTTTTGTTGAGAAAGATAATTTTGACAAACGTTTGTTATACCTTTGCATATGTTTCAATTCTGGATAAAATTTTCACTTTATATTGATATATTTTTTATGCAAATATTTTTTCTGTCATAGTATGGGATTACAAAATAAAAAAGTATTATTGTTCTCAGTGTGTTTAAATTTTTCTTTTTCCTTTCATTCATAAAAAATACATCTAATTTTATTTGTTTAAAGTAGTACTTATATTTCAACTAGCATGCTGTTGGAATATCAGTACCAACTAGCAACTCTAGCATGCTGTTTTGAATTTTTTATTGCTGTTCATCAAGCGGACATACTTAATAATACATATATACTTCAGTAAGAACTTGAGAAATAAAATATATCCCACTATCTTATATTTACGCTTTTATTTTCATATTTTGTAATATGGCAAACTTGTACCGAAAATGATTTTTTAAAGATTGGTGGAAATACATTTGAATTCGCTGCTCGCTTTATATTTTGTGTTTTATTCTGTATTTTTCTTGAATTTTTTATTTACTATTTTTGCTCAATTTGTTTTATATTTTTTACTTAATAGGTTCGATTTCAATTTCAGATTTTCTTAGTGCTCCTCACAATATTGTATTGATATATTTTTGCCTTGGCTACGTTAATAGAATATTAGAAAGCACTCTATTTTGTGGATAATCATGTGTGAGCTGATGACATAAGATTATATCTTTTCCTCATTTTGTTTTCCAGGTTTTTAATTTCTCTTTTTCTCTTTAAAAAAAATTTTTTTAGCCTTTTTTTGTATGTGTATATATACAGGGCCGGATTAACCTATAGGCACACTAGGCACGTGCCTAGGGCCTACGAAATTCAGGGGCCTACGAAAAACTTGGGAGGAAAAAAATTTTTGACAAAAATAATTTAGCTTTAAAAACAACAAGTGTATTTTGCACAAAATTATGAAGATACAAATAAAAATATAATATTTTACGGTAATCAATTATTTTGCAGAATCTTATGATCTAATACATTACTTTTTTGGATTCAACGAAATCTTGTATTATGCTGTCGAATTCCAAACTACGCAAAATGTCCGATTCAATAGACATAAGTGCGAGCGATGCCAAACGATCTTGATTCATTGTTGAAAGCAAATAATTTTTTATCAATTTTAATCTGGAGAAAGATCTTTCTCCTTCTGCATTTGATCCAAGAATCGACAAATATATTCTTAATGCAATGTGAACGTTAGGAAANTAAAAGAATATGTAGATAAAAAAAGTGTCGATATATGCCTTCATTTTTCTTAATAGTTAAAGTTAAAACTGAACTTTTTAAAATAAAGTATTCATCGTGTCATTTTCACCAACTAGCAAAACTTTTTTATAAGTTTAAAATGGTATTTTTTTAATATAATAACCAAGAAAGTTTTTTTTGAACTATGTTTATGAACGGAAATAATGTGTTAATTACGTAAAGTTTGAAGGCTAATAACCAGAAAAAGTCTAACTTATTTTTACAAAGAGAAAGATTCAAAGTTATATCTTTGCTTGCGATCTCCGAGATCTGTGGACACAGTGACGTCATGAGGAGGGAAATCGTAGCTTCAGCTCTAAGAGCGGAGTGAACTAGCCCTTGTATTCTCTTTAGCCCTGGTCTGCCCTATAAGCGTAGTCGAATTCTTGGCCATAGAGGGCGCCACCTCTGGCTACGATAGCATCAACAATAATTTTTGGTTATGAAATACAGCATGCGAAGCCAATGTATTTTTCTACACGGTCCCGCAGTAGACTGATTGTATGGACGCGGTTGCCAGTAGAACGCCGAAGTCAAGCGTCACTAGCAGCGGCCAGTAAGCAGGTGGGCGACTACTTTGATCAGTCTGACTAGGGATCGAGTGTACGCGGTATTGTTTTTTTAAACTGTTCTACCATTAAGTGCTCGACTTCATGCGCAGGTCGTAGGGCTAAGTGGGAAAGTCGTCCCCTCTGCAGAGAAACAAAATTGTGATGGCTCGTCTTCGGATCATCCTCAGGGATGTTTCCCAGATCGTCGCCAAAAGTCCATTGGGATGCTCTAGTTTGGCGTAAATAAAATACCTGCCTACTTTTTTCTGCGTTTAAGTGAAATCTTCCAAACACGGCAAAACAATAAAATTCAGTTATTTTTATTCGATTCGAAATACTAATGGAATTTTTCATAAGTGAATATTCTTTTCAACTTACTTTTTCGAAAATTGAAGGAACTAGAAGAAGAGGGAGACCAGCTGCAAGATGGTTGGACAGTGTTGAGAAGGAATTAAAATCGTTGAGAATAAACAGGTGGAAAAATTTAGCTCAAAGTCGCCCTGCCTGGAGGCAGCTAATTGAGAAAGCCTTGGAATTACGTGGAACACCATTTGAGAACAGCTGCTCTACAAAAAGTTGTGCGCAGTAAAATACCATATTCGTCTCGAATTATTTCATACCTTCTGAATTATAAGTAAATACAAAACTCGTTTCGACAACCTATACTTACATATGCTTCAACTGCCTGGACTACTATACCCGAACACCTAATGAAAAAGCTCAACCAATGACAAGATAAAATACTCCGAAAAATCACCCGTGCCAGATGGTTCGTAATTCAAATATCCATAGAGATCTCAAAATTCCTTCTCTATCCGAATATATATACACAAATTAAATGCAGACTATGAAAATTAGATCGTTTTAGAACTTAAATTTTACAAATCAATTTACTGAGATGTTTTTTTTTTTTTTTTGTATTAGTAACTTTTAACATTTCTTTGTCTGCAGTTTATATTATCTTTAAACAAATTGATGGGTAGAATTGTGAAAGCCTGCTGCCCTGTTTTGTTAAAAAAGAATTTTTTTCTTCCTCAATGACCACTCGATTGACACTTGTCATTCAGGGAAGATTTGTTAGCCACTATTTCAGTGGCACCCTATTTGGTGGACCAACGTATTTCTCACCGTATGAATAGATAGCGCAGAGAACGATAGAACATCCATGCCTTGTTTGGGATTCGAACCAAGGACCTTTCATATGCGAGGTCAGCCATCACCTCCTACATCAGAAAGCCTCCACACGGTTTCTTATAAGTAGTCTGCGCAGATTATTTAAAAAGCGAACCACTTGTGCGCATGAACCCAAATTCTATTTTAAAAGTTCTCGAGAGAAATTTATCATATATATTTGAGAATTGAATCTGTAGTGGTTGGCAAGTGAATAAAACTAACCAATTACTTTCATAAATTAAATACATTTTGAGACACATATTTGCTACCACATTCAAATTTTTAATGGATTTCATATTAAATGGTTCTTTTACTAATTGGTTTACCTTTATAGTGGTCTGATCAGACTACCTACAAAAATCCGTGTGGAGGCTTTCAGTTATAGGAGGCGTTGGGTCTGCTCCCTGACAACTACACAGCGTTTTATTAAAAGTCAATCAATTATTAATAATTTAAAAACATGTTGCAAGCATAAAAGTTATGTTTTCCAGAAAATTTAGTTAAAATTTGATATTTTTAAAAGCCTTCATGTTTACTAATTTCACTCAAAGAAATAACTTTAATTAACAAAATAAATTATTAAAAAGACACCAAAAGCAGTTTTCCAAATGTTATTATTAGTGTATCTTAACTCCTGGGATCTTTTTATTATTATTTTTTTTAACTTCCTTCATTAACCAAATTTGCTAGACTAGCAGTTATCTTTGGTCTTATCTTAAATGACACATTTTTTCAGGATATTGAAATAGTAAATCCACAGGCTGCTGAAAAGAAAGGTAGCGAATCTGCCAAATACTTCTCAAATACATCTGCCTTCATTTAAAGTGGAGAGAAAATGAATTCCAATATCATGTTCAATTGTATGTAATTGTATGCCAGTAGTTTTAAAGTAAACTTGTATAGAAAAACTTCATTACTTGCTTCATATACTTATAACATATTTAAAATAATACAATATATATTATGCTTCACGATTGTCTTAGATGGTATAACAAAAATTACACGAAAATAATTGTATAAAATAAGTTTCTGTTTTCTTATTAAAAATTATTAAAATTCTCCTTCAAATCACTTTTCTAGGTTAAAAGTTTTGAATGAATTATATTTTCAAATAATTTCAATTCAAATAGGGAACTTTCTTAAAATTAGCATTTCAAAAATGCTTCTTTTTTTTAAAATTACTAATAATATTTTTAAATTTACACTATATGTGTACTTAATTTACTAAGATTACTTATAGTAAAAAATTATTTAAAAAAATTTATTAAAAAAAATGATGGAGTTAGGGCACATAAGACCGTCTAGAAGTAATTATGCATCCCCACTTCACATGGTCCCAAAAAAGGGAACTGCAGTGGAGGCCAGTCGGTGATTTTAGGGCACTAAATGCACAAACGGTGAAGGAAAAATATCCCATTTCTTGTGTAGCTGATTTCACATCTGAACTGCATGGCTCCAAAATTTTCAGTCACATTGACTTAGTAAAGGCCTATCACCAGATTCCAATTAAAACTGATGAGATTCATAAAACGGCCATTTGTACACCTTTAGGACTATTCGAAAGTACACGCATGCAGTTCGGACTGAGCAACGCAGCAGCTATATTCCAAAGATTTATTGACGAAGTCACTAGAGATTTAACTAATATTTATGCATTTATCGACGACATATTAATCGCGTCTAAAAATCATAATGAACATATACAAAACCTTTAGAATTTATTTGCAAGATTAGAACAATATGGTCTTTGTATCAATGTCGAAAAATGTACATTCAGTAAAAATTCTTTAAATTTCTTAGGCTTTAAATTAACAGAATTAGGAATCGAACCTCTACCCGATCGCGTACAATGCATATTAGAATTTCCTCAACCTCCCAATTTAACACAAATTCGCAGATTTTTAGGCATAATTTTTTAATTTCTATCGCAGATTCATCCCAAAAGCCNTTAATTTCTATCGCAGATTTATCCCAAAAGCCGCTGATATCCTTAATCCTTTAATACAATTTTTAGAAGGAAATAAAAAGAAAAATCATTCTAAGGTCAAAAATGAGCCATTAAAATGGAATGAAAACGCAGAAAAATCCTTCTTAAAGGCAAAGGAAGCAATCGCGCAGGCAACCCTCTTAAAACACCCTATTCCTGGTGCAAACATAAGTTTATGGGTTGACGCATCGGATTTTGCAATAGGGGGTTCATTAATGCAACTTTCAGAGGGGAAATGGGAGCCTTTACCTTTTTACTCGATGAAATTAAATAATTCTAAAAAAAATGGTCGATCTATGACCGCGAGTTATTTTCTATTTATTCGGAAATAAAAAAATTCAAACACAGGTTAGAGGGTAGAGAATTTCAAAATATATACTGATCAAAAACCACTAATTTATGCATTCAAACAAAATCCGGATAAATGTTCCTCTAGACAACTACGCCATTTAGATTTTATATCTCAATATTCAACTGACCTTAGACATGTACAGGGATCCACAAATATAGTAGACGACACACTTTCGCGTATAGAATTAAATTCAATTACTAAATCGAATTTTCTAAATTTTCACGATCTGGCGAAGGCTCAACAAACTGATGCAGAAATCCAAGATTTTCTTCAAAATAAATATTCTTCTCTTGATCTTGAACTCAAACCATGTCAAAATACAGACACTGACTTAATATGCGACATTTCAAATGGTTTTCCACGTCCATTCGTCCCGGCAACATTTCGAAGACAAATTTTCGAACTCTCGCATGGCATATCACATCCTGGTATTACAGCTACTACTAGGCTCATCTGTGCCAGATATGTTTGGCCAAATATGAAGAAAAATATAAAAGAATGGGTGAAATGCTGTGAACCTTGTCAGCTTTCTAAAATTCAAAGACACACCAAAGCTCCTCTAGGAACATTCAGTTTACCCGATGCTCGATTTCAACAAATACACATCGGCATTGTAGGCCCGTTACCTTCATCTGATGGCTACAGCTACTTATTAACAATGATCTATAGAATTTCAAGATGGCCTGAAGCCATACCGATTGTGGACATGCAAGCCAAAACCATCTGACGTGCAATTTTCCACACTTGGATATCTCGATTCGGATGCCCTTCGATAATTACAACAGATCAAGGTTCTCAGATGCGATCATCTTTATATCGTGAGTTTTCCGGATTGTTGGGTACAAACCGAATTCGTACGAAAGCATACCATCCCATTTCAAATGGCATTGTGGAAAGATTTCACCGTTACTTAAAATCATCAATAAAAGTGCATGAAAACTCACAGTGGACAGAAGTACTTCCAGTAGTCCTTTTAGGAATCTGTAAAGGAGGATATGAACGCATCGTGTGCCGAACTGGTATACGGAACAACTTTTCAACTTCCAAGAGACATGCTAGAAACATCTATCATTCCACCATGTGATAACATTTTTGTTGATCGTCTTAGAAACACCATGCGTGAATTGAATCCAATTGCCACATCTGCGCATGGACGAAGTACATTTTACGTTAATCCCTCACAAAGCACTTGTTCTCACGTGTTTTTAAGAGTGGATTGTGTAAAACCTCCCTTATGTCAACCCTATACAGGTCCACATAAGGTTTTGAAACAGTCAGCTAAAAACCTTACAATTCAATTAAATGGTAGGCAATCTACTGTGTCCATAGACTGTGTAAAGCCAGCATATTTGATTCCTACTACAGAGAAGGTTGAATCAAACTTACGGGTTGTAAAACCTGGAATTTCCAAATCCTTACGTACAGAAAAAAAATCATTCTCCCAAGGAACCCGACAACATTGTGACTAGGTCTGGAAGACATGTACACTTTCCAGCAAAACTGGCAACTTATGTTTGTTATTAACATTATTAACTAAGCATAAGGTTGTTTAGTATAAAATATTATTTATCAATGATGTAAATAGTGTAATATTTAAAATTTTATTTGAAATATTATGTCGTTTCAGAGTAAAATCCTCTGTCACTGGGGGGATAATCTGTAGTATTATTCTTAATCGATAATGAATCGATTAAGCAAGCTGGTTATAAATCATTTCTTGTATGTTGCATGGCAACAGCCTGGATGAAAAATAGAACAGCTATGGTGAATAAATATTTGCTAACCTTCTGAATTAGTCTATCCTGTATTAAAGTGATAAAACAACACTTCACCATTATTCTACCATTCTCTTACTCATTGCAGTAAATGTATCCCTGCGAGCTGGAATCTAAGTTTTATTTGCTGTCAAACATGATATTTCAGTAAATAAGCAACAGGGACTATATCCATGGTAAGCAGGTTAAAACTTCATTGATAAATAAAACAAAGCAACAGCAAAATTGTTTTCATAATCCCTTACAACTTTTTTTAAAAAAAATATTTAATGAATATACAGAAAATGTATTACATATCTTACATAAACGTAATGTATAATGGTTGCATTTAATACCTTGCATCTCCGCAACCTTTCTTAAATTATTACATGAGAATTTACCACAAATGTGACTCTTTTACAGGAAATGCATTACATATCTTAAATAAACACAATGTATAATAGTTGCATTTAATACCTAGCATCTCCGCAACCTTTCCTAAATTAATACAGGGGAAGTTACTATAGGTGTGACTCCTTAGGACGCTCTTATGTTGCTATTACTGTTCCAGTCATATGGATTGTTACCACAGTCTGTCAACAACAAATAATTTTTAATTCCATCCGGGATATTAAGCAAATGAACACTTTTTGGAAGTAGGAAATTTTTTGCCAAAGGTAGGCGGATGGTACACCTGCATAAATGCTGCAAACTTCTTGGTGAACTGACAGGGCTATCTCCGCCTAATACAACTTCTTTGAACCACTGCCAGGCTTTGATGACTGTCGCAGCCTGCGGCGTACGTTCTACGTGATGTATTTTTGAATCACTTACAATTGGATCCATAGTCAATGTCTTTCTATACATGGCTTCAGCAGCGGGGGTGTCTGGGTAATCTTTGGAAGTGCGGTAGAGGTTATAAGGTCTGTCACAATTTCTGTCAAACACAAACATCACTTGAATAGGCTCTCTCAAATAATATGTCACATCCTTTTCTGTAATGTACGGTTCAGGAATGGATGCCCACAATAGCTTCAGAACAAACGTTGCCTCATCAGAAGTGTGTCTGTCTGATTGACGTTTTAGGAACAAACGAGCCATTTGAGTTAAGCGGAGGCTTCTGTGTCCATAGACAGGCATTTTAGGATCTTCATTTATCAGCATACTAAAGAATAAAAGATAAACAATTTATAGCAACAATATTCATACACGTAATTTTAATGTAAGTTACGTTATGGTTAACTCCTTCTAATATATTGTATATATATACATACATATATTAGCCGCGATGACTCCCTTCCAAATGAGGTACGTGGGAACATGTTATTTTGCGCAATTATAAATTAGACTTATCAGCCTGTTATTTATAAAATATCGAAATGAAGCTTTTTTTAGCTCTATTTGTCTAATAAAAAACGCATGGATTGAAATTTGAGACATTTATTTTGGTAAAAGCGTATTATTTTGCATTACTGCAAAGCCTCTGATGCAAATTTTTTTGCATTATCTCGCGCATTTATCTCTTGAATATTTTAAATCGGTGATTCGGCAATCGCCAAAATGTCTATCGCGAACCACAAGCAGCTCGTGTGGGCATTTTTGGCAGATCCCCTTGGCGCTCCGGTTGACTAACCTTAAATTTTTCACTGAGCTACTGTACCAAAGAGTATTTTTCATTTTATTTATTTCTTCCTTTTTTTTAATGTTGGTAATTCACAGAAGAATTTACTGTAGCTCAGAAGCTGTATTAGTTTGGCGACCATTGTTATTAATGCATCACAAATTTTTTGCCGAAAATTCATATTCACCTGTGGATTCCGGTTCTTGATCCTCAATATATGAAGAGATGGGCGTCTGGTAAAGTTAACTCTCAAATTCCCGGTCTAAATCTTAAAAATCTAATAAATCGAAAATAAAATTTTTTAAAATTAACAGCCAAAAAAATTTTGTCTACGAAGTTAAATAAAACTAACTTGAAAAAGTTAAATAAAAATAATTGTCAATTAAAAATGCATCTTAATTACCAATAAATTTATAATTATTAATAATTGATTACTATCAGTTTGACATTTTTGAAAGTTTAATTTTGCTTAAAGCATTTTTAGCTGAATAATTTATAATAGTCAATGCTGCTAGCAGTTGATGAAATCGGAAAAAAAGAAATTGGAAACAAAAGAATCGGTTGATTAAGTGAAGTGGTTATACGACGTATAAGAATTTCGAAAATCCGCAGTTTTGCTGAAATTTTTTCATTTATTATATTCAGGAAAATCTTTTACTTCTGCTCCCCCCCCCCTTCATTGTGATCATTTAAGGCATCACTGTTGGCATTACTTTTTAAATCTTCCATTTTGGTAGAATAAACCAAGGAACAAAACAATAGAATAAACCAAATTTGGTAGAATAAGCTAAATAAATTATTCTACCAAAATGGAAGAGTTTTATCCTTAATGTTACATGTGAACTGAGACTTCTTATCACTACTTTAACAAAGAATCAGGAAACGTTATGCAAAAACATTGATTTCTTTTAAAACTCTAATATCTTTTTTCAAAAATAATCAATATTTTAAAATAAATAAATAATCAAAATAATAAATCCTACGAAAAAGGATTTAAAAAATACTATAACTAATGTTTTAGTTCGACAGTTACAACTACTATAAAGTTTCAGCTGCTATAAAGTTCAAAAGCTTTTATTTTATTTTTTATTTATTTTCAAAGCAGGCATATTATGGACAAATACTTAAGCAAAAACGTTATTAAAATATAGCGAATCACTGTTGTGTCATAGTCTGTCGATGAATATGTGTGCTATGGAAATAAGAATGACCCCATTTAAGAGAGGGGAGTTTTTGGTACTTCTTGTTAATAATATTTCTCTATGTTAATAATAATAATTTCTGATGTCCGATAGATGGCACTCTGCGCAGTTATGTAAAAGGATTAATTGAATCCAGTTTCCTCATTGGCACTGTAGCATCATACCTTTTTTGTTATTAAATATATTTTCGATTGCATTGTACATCATATTTAACAACATAGCTGCTTTGGTAAATGGTTGCATAATGAATTTGGTAAATGGTAAGCAACATAGTTGCTTTTTCACCAAATTTTGCGCTTTCAGTTCGGCAGTATGTCGGTATTGCAGATAAAGTTCGATAAACAAATTTGTAAACTAAAATCCATATTAATAAAAATGTTACAAAAAAATATGCAAGAAAATTTTAGCATATATTTTGAAAAGAGGCGAGGAGTGGGGGAAGAAGGGGAGGGCCCCAAAACGACTATGCATAGGGCTTACGAAAGGTATAATCCGGCTGTGGGTGCCCGGCATATTCTACTTCATTGTTAAAGGTTCAGTGCCACTGTTCGGTGTTCATTTACATTACGTTCTCTTGCCGTAACATCTCCCTAAGTGAAATAATTCAACCTCGTCACCGACAATCAACCAGACGATGGGTGAGAGGGTTACTTTACATAGACAAACTTAAACTATACGCGTACCTTAAAGCATCAAAACGAGTTTGATTGCAGAAGGAAAGAGAGAGGAGTTGAAAATGAATTCTTACCATTTCCACCACGTTCCTTTATTCTATCAAATTTGGTTTTGACATTTTAAGTTTGCCTTCCTCATTAATGATTAGTTAGATTTGATAGAATTTTTTTCAAAAAGAAATTTGCGCTTGAATGTGTTTAGTTTTTCCATTCATTTTGAAAAGAATATTATAAAAATGTATTAAGAGAATGCTATACTGGGGAAAAAAATTTCCGTGGTTTCTCTTTTAATTACATGAGTCATTTAAAATTTTAGGCAATGACATGATATTTTAGTTCTAAAGCTTCTTAGCAATGCTGATGTTCTAGTAATATGTCAGAGTAGTATGAAGTATGTCCAAATGACGTCAATGTAAAATAAAGAACATTTTAGTGACAAAAACGATATAGTTGCTTCTGTGAATATCCGAAATATTTGAAATTTTAGTGACAAAAACGATAAGAGTGCAGAGAAAAATGTAAACATATTTATTGCAAAATATATATGCTACCGTGAATGGCCGAAATAAAGAGAATGTCGACTTTTAACCGGTGAATGTCAACAACCACATAGTTGCTTCAGTGAATGTCCGAAATATTTGTAATTTTAGTGACAAAAATAAGAGTATAGTGAAAAATGTAAACATATTTATTTTGCAAAATATATATGTTACCGTTAAGGACCGAAATAAAGAGAATGTCGACTTTCAAACGGTGAATGTCAACAATCACATAGTTGTTTCAGTGAATGTCCGAAATATTTGTTATTTTAGTGACAAAAACAATAAGAGTGTAGTGAAAAATATAATCATATTTATTGCAAAATATATATGTTACTGTTAATGACCGAAATAAAGAGAATGTCGACTTTCAACCGGTGAATGTCACCAATCACATAGTTGCTTCTGTGAATGTCCGAAATATTTGTTATTTTAGTGACAAAAACCATAAGAGTGTAGTGAAAAATGAAAACATATTTATCGCAAAATATATATGTCACCTTTAATGACCGAAATAAAGAGAATGTCGACTTTCAACCGGTGAATGTCAACAATCACATAGTTGCTTCAGTGAATGTCCGAAATATTTGTTATTTTGGTGACAAAAACCGTAAGAGTGTAGTGAAAAATGTAAGCATATTTATCGCAAAATATATATGATACCGTTAATGATCGAAATAAAGAGAATGTCGACTTTCAGCCGGTGAATGTCAACAATCACATAGTTGCTTCTGTGAATGTCCGAAATACTTGTTATTTTGGTGACAAAAACCATAAGAGTGTAGTGAAAAATGTAAGCATATTTATTGCAAAATATATATGTTACCGTTAATGACCGAAATAAAGAGAATGTCGACTTTCAACCGGTGAATGTCAACAATCACATAGTTGCTTCTGTGAATGTCGGAAATATGTGCTATTTTAGTGGAAAAAAAACAATAAGAGTGCAGTGAAAATGTAAACATATTTACCGCAAAATAGATACGTTACCGTTAATGACCGAAATAAAGAGAATGTCGACTTTCAACCGGTGAATGTCAACAATCACATAGTTGCTTCTGTGAATGTCGGAAAAATTTGTTATTTTAGTGGAAAAAAAAACAATAAGAGGGTAGTGAAAAATGTAAACATATTTATTGCAAAATAGATACGTTACCGTTAATGTCCGAAATAAAGAGAATGTCGACTTTCAACCGGTGAATGTCAACAATCACATAGTTGCTTCTGTGAATGTCGGAAATATTTGTTATTTTAGTGGAAAAAAAACAATAAGAGTGCAGTGAAAATGTAAACATATTTATTGCAAAATATATATGTTACCGTTAATGACCGAAATAAAGAGAATGTCGACTTTCAACCGGTGAATGTCAACAATCACATAGTTGCTTCTGTGAATGTCAGAAATATTTGTTATTTTAGTGGAAAAAACCATAAGAGTGTAGTGAAAAATGTAAACATATTTATTGCAAAATAGATACGTTACCGTTAATGTCCGAAATAAAGAGAATGTCGACTTTCAACCGGTGAATGTCAACAATCACATGGTGAATGTCCGATATAGTTGTTATATCTGATTTGCGATACCTGTCCTTTTCTTACATAAATGTTAATTGTCTAAAATCATTAAAATTGTCTAATTAAATATCAACCTTATTAATTATAAACTTCTTTAAATTATCTGATATAAATATACCTTGCGCACATTCATTTTCGGGCCAATCCTTGGAATCTAACAAATCAAGCACGCCTCAGTACCGCAGTAGAAATGCGCTATGAAACAAAATTCCTATAATAACCCTTTTGCCTATATTTGCGCTACTGTTTTCATATTTTGTGATTCTGGCAATTTTATTAAGATAATATTTTAAATCATTCTTGAAAGTTTTCCCGCATGTGTAAATTCATTTAAATTTACTCCTCGCTTTATAGATTTAGTTTTATGCTTCTGTTTTTTTTTCTTAACATTTTATTTATTGTTTTTTACGTAATATTTATAATTTTATAAATTCTATTTTGTTTCAAAAAATTTTTTGAGTGCTCCTCACACTATTGTATTGATATATTTTGCTTTGGCTATATATACAATATTAGAAAGTGCTCCTTCTTGTGGATGTAATCGTGTGAGCTAATAAAGGAATTATATAATTTTTTCCCGGATTTTTCTTAAAAAATCTTTTTTTTAAATTTATTTTTTTTTTAATTATATTATTCTATTTTAATAACTTCCTTCCTCTCTTTTCAATATTCTGTAATTTTTTCAACATTTTCGGTTATAAATAATGAAAATTATAATATTTTTTTAGAATAATTTATGTGCATAAAATCATATATAAAACATAAAAATTATCTTAGGATAACTAATTTTTATAATTGTGTAGAAAAATGTGTGATTCATTTAAAAAATATTCGTCCGCTCTCCTAATATTTTGAGGCTGAAGAATACAGATCAAATATTTCATTTATTCAGAAAAAAAATTTGTGCCTGAATTATTAATCCTTTACACAGAAAGTTGCTTTTAAGATTAAAACCAACCATGTGAAAATCGGATCATTAGATAAAAATTAATTCAGGGTATTAGGATTAGATATAATAGAAACATCGTAATAACTGTGTTCTAATCTTTCATTTCAAAAAAACCTGTTGGTTCCTCCGAGGTTTTTAATTTTTTAAATCGGTAAATCATCGGTTGAACATCATGTGATGTAGATTTGGGGGATAAAATCCCCTCCAAAATTAAACATTGCTTGATTAATGAACGGTAAGTAGGATGCAGATATAAAAAAGTTTTCATTATACATTTTTTGTAATTTAAGCATGTAGAATATATTTCAAAATATGGGGAAAACATGGAAAATAATTAAATAATAATGTAATAATGAGAGAAAAAAAATATTGAAATTAAAAAATATTTATAATTAAAAAATATATTAATAAAAATCCGGGAAAAAAGATATAATCTCTTCGTCAGCTCATACGGTTATATCAGATAAAAAGGAGTGCTTTCTTATATTGCATCAGTATAGCCAAAGCAAAATATATCAATACAATAGTGTCAGGAGCACTCCAAAGAACTAAAACAAAATAGACACATTAAATAATAAATATCACATAAAGAGGAGGGGGGGNGGGGGGGAGGGAAATTAAGAATAAACAGAACAAAACAGAAAACGAAATCTATTAAGCAAGTTGCCAATTCAAGTGAAGTTACATGAACTGGAAACTTTCAAGAATGCTTTAAAATAATTTCGTTATAAGATTGCCAGATTACAAAATATGATAACAAAAGTTCTAATTGAGCTAGAAGCGTATGTAGAGGGATTTTGTCTCACAACTAGTTCTTACCGCAGTACTGAAGAGCGTTTGATTTGCTGGTTACCAAGGATTTGCCCCCGAAAATGAAATTGTACAAGCTGATAATATTATACTGGATAACTCAAAGAAGTTTATAATTGATAAGGTTGCTATACTATTATTCAATTTTAATGATTTTAGAAAATTAACATTTATTTAAGACAGAGAGAAACATGAATTTGCTTGTTTTGCACAAATTTTTAGCCCGGATTTGCCCCAAATAGATTTGTGCACATGGAAAAAATATAAACCAATAAAGAAGTTTTCGGTAATTTTATCTATAATAACATACAATTAACTCTATTATTTTATATAGAATTTAATTACTTTAGTTGAGAATCCATTGTTTAATCAAATTTTTAAATAGATTGTCTATTTGTTTTTTGCATAAATAAACATTACTACATATTCTTTTAATTCTATTCATTTGATTAAAAATGGTGTTTCAATAGATGCTTTTAGAAACATTAGAGTTCCAAGTAATAAGTTAATTTGTATTAAAAGTAAAATCATATATTTTATCGTATAAATCAACAAAGTAGCCATTTTCTTCTTTTATGATACTCCAATCCAAAAAATTAAAATTAATATTATCATCATGAAAGCAAGATTAATTCCTCGGGGTAAATATTATTTAATAAAATTATCTAATCTTAGTGCTAAAATAAGTTAGCTAACTAGAGATGAAAAATTAGATGCTTGTGGTATTCCATCAATTCAATCGTTTTATTGGAAGTAAAACAATATGAATAAACTTTAAAAATGTTTAATGCCGGATGGTAAAAAGTACAACAATCGCTTAAGTGTTATGGTCCATTACAAGGTTTGCAAATATATACACTTTCGTAAAGTTATAATAAATTGGTAGATAATTAAATAGTTAAACTTGAAAAGTATAGAAAATTACGCCCACTTTTTAAAATAGTCACCCTGCTAAAGAAAACAAAGAGTGACCGGTCACCAACGCTTTTGGCCACAAAAACAAGAGTTAGCTCGTGACCGGTCAGCAATGTGTTATTACATAAGTGTTTTCACTTACTTTTCACGACAGTCAATTCCTCTCCACTTTAAAATATCCCAATCTTCTTTAGTGTAACTGCTGGTAGCACCGAATGTAACTAAAGTCACAAATTTTGGCAACATAAAGTTGAGGCACAAATCAAAACAATTAAATATTCCTTGTTCCTTTTCATTAAGATGGAATGGCAGTCTTGCAGCAGTCTTCTGAATACTTTCGAACACATACTTTAGATCGAGCACAGATTTGAAAAAGAATTGCTTATGTTCAAGGGTGGAGCACAGCACTTCCATAACGGTGGCCACAAGTAATCCATCGCACTTATATTTCTCAACCATTCTCAAGTAATCTCGTAGTTTGTAAGACAGACTACGAGAGGCTCCCACATGAGACATCAATAGTGATTCAGAATAACTGTCAGAATACAACTGAAAAGCTCTCAAGGAAAGTTTAATGGCGAGTGCTACAAACATGGAGCATTCGTGACGACGATGGTATTCGAACAGCAAATCAATGACCCACGGCAATCTCTCTTCCCGTTTCATCCTCTTCAATCTTTTCTTCACGGAAACGGACATTAAATCTTTGTAATCATCAAAACGGAATAATTTCTTTAAAAGATTCAAAGGCTCTTGTTTAGGCGTGAAACGTCCATTATGTTCGCTCTTGAAAAGCCCATAGCTCAAGCACTCTCTCGTGTATTTGGATAAAACACTACGATCATGATCGTGGAAATCCGTGGTCTCGATCGGGTCATCGTTTCCAAAATTTTTGAATCTAAGATCATAACGTTGAAATGCTAAGCTTATTAATTCCTTTTCCTTCGCTGTTATGCAAAAAGATGACGCCATTTTTTTCCTTCTTTTTTTTCGTCGTACTACTTGGATATACGACAACGATCCCTCAGCATGTCAAGGCCAAGGTAACTTTATAGAACACTCCTTCTCGCACACACTGGTTTACTTCAAAAATATCAAATATAAAAAACCTGTTTCTCTCGTAGTATTGGGGAACCCCCTCAGTGGGGCAGGGGATAGATAGAGCCTAACCTTTGACCTCTCTCCCTTTCCTTCACTGACTCGATCGGGTGAAAAAGCAACCACATGTTATTTAAATCGCCCATTTTCAAGATGATATCGTTCTGTTTGTTACTGTCGGACTTCTATTTAACGAACTTCCATTTTACGAATTTCTCTATTTTACGAATTTTTTCGATGAACCAAGAACATTTTGGAAATTTCGTCGCAAAATAACTTCCAAATAACGAAGTGAATTTTCTAATTAACGAACTTTTCATTGAGATCCACTTTTCCTATTTTCCAAAATATTTCAACTTGTCCAACATTTCAACTTGTTCCAAACATTTCAAACTTATTAACTCATTTCATGGGGGAAATGACCTTGAATTAATTTTCGAAGCCACTGCTTTATGAAATGTTTTACTGTTTTCTCTAAAATTCATCTTAAAGAAAGCAGTAATTTCTCTTTACCTTTTTGTTTGCATTTCAAATGAAAAACTCAGTTCAAATTAACGAATTTTATGCGTGGCAATTAAACTTAAGAGCGCATGGGGTAATGTATGTTTAAAATTACTTTTATAATAAATGCAACTATAATATTATGCATAAATTCAACCTTTTTTTAGTTGAAAATATATATAGCATGATAGTGTAACATTGGATAATGTTTTGCTCTATTCTTGCTTCCCTTGCAGATTTTTTTTATGGTTAAGATTTATAAATTAAAGAGTAGATACTAAATAAAGTAGATAATAAAGATAGAAGTTTGCAGGATAAAAGTGCTATTTTAATTATGTCTAGTGTTTATGAATTTAAAATCTGTTTAGTGTTTAAGTATTTTAAAAGGTGATTTTCTATTTAACGAATTTTCCATATAACGAACTTATTATCTGGATTTAATGACTTCGTTAAATAGAGATTTGATTGCATAAATAATTATTGTTAATTATAAATTATTATACTTTTGATCATTTAATTTAAGATTTGAACCTCCCTCCGCATGTTGTGGTGAATTGTTTGTTGGAACAATTCACCGCACCGTTTTGTTTGCTGGGAATGAAAGAAAATAAAAATGCAGAATACTCTTTCGATGTATCTCAAAAACTTTGTTATATCAAGAAAAAAATATATATATCTATCCCCTTGGCATTATATATATCCAACTAATGTTAATTTGAATTCCTATGTCGAAGGATTTCTTCTCAAAACCTTATATATAATTTTCTTCCGAAAGAAAAAATGAATTTTTTTTTTTTGTTGGTAAAATCACAATGTAAGTTCATTGTAAACCCATTCTTTTCTATTTATTAATGCATCATTATTTTTATCTTATTTTTAAATATAAATACATTAAATATATTCTTACTTATAATTTTTGTATTTAGACTTTTAGTCAACTATCATTGCATGCATATTTATTAGGAGTCATTCTTATTTTTCATGACTCTACTTTTTAGAGTCATATTTTAGAATATATTTTTCTACTTTTTAGGATAAATATAAAAGAACCAATGTAAAGAACTTTATTTCATATTTTTTTGAAATATTAAGACTCATAAACTGTTCTACATTTCAGATAATTGCACTTAACTGTATTGTGTTATAATAATACTTTATAACCAGTTACTGCTCGATCCCTGCTGACCGAAGACTCCCCGTGTAGTAAATGGTGAATGGTGCAAGTTAAATCTATCGAGTCACAAAGCCCTCCTTGTTCCTTTAGCAAATCAATACCTCTGGGGGTACTGAAGTGGACATAGATCGTTCTCTGGTTCTGGTCAAAATTACGATCTGTAGATGAATGGATATACGAATGGGTCCACCCTATGAACGGGTGTGGCGGAAGTCGTATTCTTGGCCACAGTTGGCTCCACTGGAAAACAAAAACAATCGCACCCTCCTCCTCCGCCTTGATTTCCAACAACAGCCAAATATAGGGTACTCACAATCTAGAAAAATTGTACTTAAAATTACTAAAAGATAATTTAATATTATTTTTATAAAATCAGTTTTGAAGCTTTACACGCTATGAGGACCCGCAGAATGAGAATATTTTTTAACTGTTATGAATATTTCGAAGTATGTATAGTTTTCAAAATTTAGCTTTCATTTTAAATCAATTTTTCAGGCCGTGCCATATCAGGTCAGAAGATGTTAAAATTGATGAGACTAAAATTTATTTAGTAAAATTGTTATAAAATTTGAACAACTACCACTTATCTAATTAAATAATTACATATATATATTCAGGGCTGATTGTGCTCCGGAAAAAATCCGGAGTTCCGGAATTTTCGCTAACAGTGATCCGGAGGTTTCCGGGGATCGAAGGTCCAGACGTTACAAAAAAATCTTTGATAACAGAAGTTTCCGGAAATCAAATTTTCAAAGGTGGAGCTTAAAAACACAGTTTATTTTATTTGTTTGTAAGGGAGAGCCAGAGAAATACTTTATAAGCTTATATTCATGATTAATATTCATTTTTTATCAGTAAATAGTTGTTATAATCATAAACTCAAGAAAGAAAGACATATTTATAAATTTTAATTACCTCTCCAGGTCATCATAGGTATGTGTAAATGATAATGGTTTTTAAATATATTTTAAGTAAACTAAGAAATATTGAGAAAAAAGAAAAAAACCTAGTTTAAATTTTTTTCTGATTTTTCTATTTAAACCGTTTTTTTTTTCTTTTTCTTTTTCAACTCAAGAAACTTTCCGGAATTTTGGCTTGGGCTCACAATCACCCCTGTATATTAGAAAATAATCTACATTACATTAGTACTATCTTTCCTATGTATGTTCCCGTCATGGGATATTTCAAGATGAATGGGAAAAGGGCCATTTAGGCCTCAGATGCCCAGTTCTACAACAACGAACGAACGAACATTACATTAGTACCAGTCGCCCTAGGGCATAATATCAGATTAAGAGGTCTCGTTCGTATTAGCTGCTATGTGCAATTGTATACATACTATAAAAATAAAAAAGCAGTTACCAGCAGTGTAAATCTGGTAAGTGCTGATAATTTAATCAATTAGCTAATTAGTTTTACGAAATGATCGGGAGCCGTCATACCCCACATGGTTTCTGGCTTTTCCGAATAATGTCATTTGATGAGGAAGAATTGTGAATGAATAAAAGGGTGATAGTAAAAATACTTTCTATTTCAGAGATAGGTGAGTACTATCGCGTAATTTAACTCCTTGACGCAGAAGGAACACCCCTTATATTTTTTTCTGACGCTCTCATTACAAGAATAAATGTATACACAATACTAATTGAAAATGTATGCATGATTGAAAAATACAAATTGGTATTTTTCAATTATAAAAAGCAGTTGAATAGTTACAAAGAAATATATGTTCAAAATTACAATCTAAATGTGAAGGAATGGGTCCGCCTTATAAACCGGCTGTGACGTGTGTGTGTGACTGTGTGTAAACTTGGTCAAAAATGGCACCACTGAAAAACAAGAAACGCACCCTCTGCCTTGAATATGCTTGGTTACAACAAGCAGTTTTTTCACGCCACTTTGTTCCAGCTATTTCGAGGTGAGGCTTTTGATATGTTCGCGAAATTATCAAAAAATTTGAAAGCTTTATGCCTACTCTATTAAATATTTTGAAAAAAGCGTAGCAGTTGGCAGCCTATGAATGACAGTGAACATATGAGACAATCTAAAGAGTTTTAAATTTTTAAAATGAAGATATAGTCATTTTAAGAAAATACCACCTTTGTCAAAATACAAACTTTTACAGGATTGCCAACTTTCTACGCTTTTTGTAAAAATTTATTCTAGTGATAGCTAAGTTAAAGTTTTAATTTATTATTCATTTAAACTTATTTTCCTCAACACTACACATAAATGATACAAAAGTTCATATGAAACGTTACTTTTATACAACCTTTTCGTGGTGAAGATTTTCAATGGTTGGCTAAATTACTAAAAATTCCGAAAACTTTGGATTTATTTGTCTACCACTCAATAAATTACTAACAAAAAGTGTAGTAGTTGGCAGGTCAGCTTTTATATAGGAGGGNCCAGATGAATGGGATAGGGGCCGCTTCGCGGCCCAGGTGCCCAGTAAAATCTAAACACTAGGACTTTATATAGGAAGTCAGTATAGAATTTGACCTCTTTCTGTCATCTAATTTTATACATTTTCCGAATTATTTCCTTTTTTATATTTACAATGGTAGCAAGTTTAATGAATTTACTTTTAATTTTGGAATTTATAAATTAATTTTAAACAATGTTCCCCACCACTACGATTAAATAAACGAGTTTTATCCAGGATGTTCCATAAAGACAACTCCTAAAATGTATTTTGAGAATTCTTATGAAAAGGTGAACACAATGGGGGTCGCCAATTAATATTAGCCTTTTGTACAAAGGCAAATTTCGAGTGAAAATTTTATTTAGGCCAAACAACAGCAAGTGAGACCATAGAGAGTTCATTCTAAATGAAGCGATGCACTTTAGCTCTTTCTTGTAGAATAATGGTTGCGAAATGTTTAAAATCAATTAGTAATACAAGGGCAAGGATAGCCTGGTTGTAGGGCACTGGCCCCCATGTCCAAGAGGTCATGGGTTCGATCGCCGCTGATCGAAGACTCCCTGTGTAGTACATGGTGTGGCACGTTAAATCAGTCGGGTCACATAGTCCCTCATGTTCCCAAAACAAATTATACTTCTGAGTTACTGATCCAGGAGCTTCCTTGTCCTCTGGGTTGGGTTCAAAATTACAAGGCTACGGAGTTGAACATTCGTAGTCGTAAGCCCAAAATTGGGTCTGCTTTTCAACGACGGTTATAAAATAAAGTAAAAAAAAATAGTAATACATTTTTAGTGGTGAACTAGTTTGGGTGGTTGAATTAGTGTTGCCTGATTGGTTGCACTGCTCACGAAATCTGACAAATCTCAGTACAGAAGGGCGTATGCAGTTGTTACCGTGACAGGCCG